AAGTGACTTGCCCAGGGTCACACAGATGGTGTCTCAAGTGGGATTTGAACACAGGCGTTCGTGTTCCAGGCCCAACGCTCTATTCACCTGGCTGGTGAAGCTGGGGCTTGAACCCTCACCTTCTGACCCATGCGTCCCATGTTCTTTTGGCTACCCCATGTTGCTTGTCTGTTTAAGCAGAGCTCCACGAGTCTTCCTCTGCTCATCCCCTCTCTTCGAGCTTGTGGCTTTTTGTGGTCTGACTCTCCGTCCCTTGTCTGTGTGTCTGAGCACTCCGCTGCATGTCTGTCCTCATTTTGAGGGTACCCTTCCCTTGGCAGAGCAGAGAGACCCCTCACCCTCCCTCTCCTTTCCCCCACCCCATCTCCTGGTCACTGTAGAACCCAAACCCAAACACAACAGCATACAGAGGGAGCAAGAGTAGCCTTTCTTCTCCCTCTGACTGTCTCTATCAGTCCTGCTTTCTGGGATCGAGCTCCTTCTAATATAATTATCTAGATTTATAGCGTGGGTGGTACTGCTCATGGGGGAGACTCAAAGGCCCGAACTTGGCAGAGTCATTATAGGGTGGAAGAGAAGCACCCGGACTCCAGGGCTGGGGGAGAGGGGGAGAGAGTTGATTTTGAGCTGGACATGGATTTAACCTCTCTTCCCTTTAATTTCCTCACCTACAACACAAGAGAATTGGACCAGGCAATCTCTAAGGTCCTTTTCAGCTCTCAATCTCATGATCTTGTTGTGTTGTGGTATGTTTGAATATATGAATGAATGAATGATTGAAAAAGCAGTCACTAAGCATTTACTATGTGTAAAGGACTATCCTATATGTCTTTACTTGAGTCCAAGTAAGCATGAAATGTGTACAAATGCACACACATATATGTATGGGACACATGAAGGCGTGTACCTGTGTTGGAGCAGCATGGAAATAGGTGCTATAATAATCCAACGCTCTGATCCTATGGGAATCTCTGTGTCTCCTGGCTTTGGAAGTTCAGACTTCCTCTTGACTTCCTCTGGACCTAATGGATCGGGGGGCAGGTGCCTACTCATTGCTGCCATCCCATTCCCAGCCTGAGACCCAGGCTTCCCTCCCCATGGAGGCATGTGTGACCAGATCCTTGGACATGTCACGGACATGGGGGAGGCCAACCACTTCCCCCACAGCCTGCCCCACTCGGGAAATAGGAGCCCACTCCCCTCTTGGGAAGAATCCTGTGTCCTGCTTCACTTCTTCCCAGAAGGAATTTTGTTGGCAGGGCTGTGTAGACAGTTTGGCAAGTATGAACTCAGCCACATGCCAGGTGCTCTGGTATGCATAGTAGTGGTGAGATCATTGTGGGCTGGAATAGGATAATAGGATCACAGATTTAGAACTGCAGAAGATTTTAGGGGACCATCTAGTCCAACGCTTGCATTTTACAGATGAGGAGGTTGAGGGGCCAAGTGACTTGCCCAGGATCATATAGTAAATATCTGAGGCAGGATTTGAACTCAGGTCTTCCTGAATCCAAGTCTAGCACTCTGCTCACTACCCATCTACCACCCCCAAATAATTGTGGTAGGTTTTATGGAGGAGGTTGGGAAAATAGGACTGAGAAGTTGTCCTTTTTAAAACATTTTACTGCACAGGGCATCATGCAAAAAAGAAGGCATTTCCCACTCTAGGCTTCAATTATTCCCAGATATGAGGCCCTGGCCCTTCTGTCCATATGTGGGCAGGAGTGTGTGAAGAGAGGGTTGTGACTGTGGGAGGTGTGAGTGGGGGAGATCTCTGTCTCAGACTAGGAAAAAATCTTCTGGTTAGTTCCCCAGTCAAATTCACAGCAAACACCAATCCAGCCTTAGGGATTTAGAATAAAGGGATTTGGTTCCAGGGTTTGCTAAGGAGTGACCGCCTTCCATTTTCACCCCAAAGCAACCCCAGCCCTGAGGTCCCTCCAGGAATGAAAGAAGTTGAGGTGGGGCTGGGAACCTCCAGAGAAGCTGGATTCCTCCATAATTTGACACAGGGGGCAGCAAGAGGGAGATAAGAGAGAGCTCACCTTCTCCGGAATGTAGCTTTGCTTAGCTTTTCTCCAGGGAAGAATGTAGTGGGAGCCCCCTCATTCCCCACTCCCACCCTGAGCTCTAAAGAGCAGTGGGAATGGGGAATGTGGTGAGGGTGTGTGAAAGCTGTACTGTTAACAGGATAAGAAGAACTCAAGAAAAGAGCACCCCACTCATCCTCCTCCACCCCATAGGCAATGTCACCTTGCATCCTTCTTCCCCTTCCAGTCACCACCAGAGCTGCTTTCCCTACTCTGAGGTCTCTGGCCACAAAGCTTTAACCATTCTATGTTCTGAAAGCCTTCTAACTGTAAGGGGACAAGGCTGACATGGAGAGAAATAAGCAGAGGAGAAGGGAGACAGTCAGAGAGCGCAAGATCCTGGAATGGGATTTCAGACTTAGAGCATCCAGAAGTGTCTTAGAAATCATCCCATCCACATCCCTTATTTCAGAGATGAGAAACTTGAGGCTGAGGAAGAGGATGAGGCTTAGCACAAGTCATACAAATCATACATGGCAGAGCGAGAATTGGAACCCAAGTCCTCTGATTAATTCTGGTGTTCTTTCCATTGCATCACCATTGACTGTCTCTTTGAGGGATCTTGGTATAGGTTTGGGAAGAATGCAAATGTACTGGGGTGGTGGGGAGTAGGATAAAGCAAGACAAACCTCTTTTGATCTCCTTGCTCCTTCAACCCCAGTGATGCTTTCCTGAGAATTGAGACCCAGTAGGCTATTGGTAGATCTATTTTCTGGGAATACATAGGCTCAGAATGAGAAAACTGCCTCCTCTAGGCAGAGCAGAATCACTCAGCTTCCTTAAGTCTATCTTTTGATTGGCAGTAGACCCAACCTGGGCCAAAATCCACACTTGTTAAATGTTGCATGACCTTGGAGGGGGTTGTCCTGGGAGGTATTGAGATTAGAGAAGGGCTAGATCCCCCAGGGCAGGCTCTGGTCTCTGCCCCACCTAACTCTTTATCCTAGATGTGGGGATGGGGAAATTCATGAACCCAGATGCTCAAGAACAGTCTCCCTATCAGACATACTTCATCTAATAGATCCTGGAAGCTTTGGGCAGATTACCATGGTACCCGACTGGAGAAATACAGCTTTTTCTTTGGGGAAAAATATTATCACAAACCTTACTGGGGTAGAAGAAGGAGGATAATGATCATAGTATTATAGGTTTATAGCTGGAAGGGACTTCCCTGGCCCCAATGCCTGGGGGAATTAGGAACTGGGTGAAGAATTTATTCTCTAACAATTTACTCTTGCTGACTTCCATTGTGGGGTCAAATAAGGGTATGTACCTAGAAGGGAAGACCCTGAGGGAACTCTAGACCTTGGGTCTTTTACCCAGAGAGGAAGCAGGAGTCAGGATATTCTCATTCCCCTGGGGTGGGGACCCTGACAGCTCTGAGCATGAGAGGTAATTTTTTTGGCTCAATGGCCAGTCCTTTGGGGAGAAGGGGGTGCTGACTAGGCAAGGAGCCAACCTCTCCTCCTCATCTCTCTATCTCTCTCTCCCTAACACCAGGCATTTTTTTTGACAGGATGATGAATGGGGAGGTCCTCTGAACAAGCTAACTGCTGCAGGGAGGAGGGGAAAGGGATTCCAGCTGGGGCCCCCCCAGACTTGTAAGATACTGGCTGATGGGCCCTGCTGAGTGTTCCAAAGCTAATGGCTAAATTTCTGTGTGAATAATTTGGGCCACTTTTCAATCTTGTTTCCAGACTAGGACAAGGCAGAACCTACTGAGAAATCCCTTCCTTTCCCTGCTTTCCATGGTCTCCAAGTGTATTCTGTTCCTGCCTTGGTGACATCAGCCTCTGGTCTAAGCTACAGGCTGAGCCCTAACCCCAGTCACAAACTAAGATGAACCCCCCCACCCCCCACCCCCGCTTTTAGCGATGTGTGAGTTGTTCACAAGGGAATCAGACCAAGGAACATCAATGGCTTGGTGCAGGCCATCTCTGATTCTAAGAGATAAAAGATACACAGAATGTATGTCATCCTAGAAAGGAGATTAGAAGGTCATCTCACCCAGAAGTGTCGCATGCAGCCCACAACACTCCCAAATGCAGCCAGAACCTGGTTAAAATGTAGTTCCTATATGATCTTAATGTGCTGATGTATGAATTAAAAAAAGAAAGAAATACATAAATGTGTGTGGTTTTCTAAGTCAATATGAGACCCACAAAGATCCTTACATATGGTTTGGCAACCCCTGTTTCTATTTGAGATTGACAATGATCTAGCCTTCATTTTACAAATGGGGAAATGGAGGCCCTGATATAGGAAATGACTTACCAAGGTCACCCAACAAATTAGTACCAAAGTCAAAACTTCCTGTTTCTACTGTGCTTCCTCAGAAAAATGATCTGTAAAAGGGGGTATCTGTATGAATGAGATTACTGATCCATCAAAGTATGAAAGAGACTGCCTTATTAAATAGTATGGGTGCTGCCCTTACCATGAGCAAGTCCTTGGCCTAGAGTACCAGACAGATAGAATGACAAAGCCCAGTAGAGAGATGTAAAGCTTTCAGGGGACATTAACAATTCAGAGAGTTAGTGAGAGTCTTCATATCATGGAATCATGGTGTTAGAATTTGAAGAGGCCTTAGCAGCCATCCAGAGAACCACCTCATTTTACAGAGGCTCAGAGAGGTAAATGGTCTGCCCAAGGTCACACAGATAGTGTCAGAAGCAGAATTTGGACCTGGGTCTTCCTCACTCCCGATCTATCTCTCTGTCTACTGCTTCTGCCTTTTAAGTTATGCGCGCAGCCTTGTTAAGGACTCACGCAAGCTTTGTCAGCCTTTCAGGGAGGAAGCTGGTGGATTTGGGGAAAAACTGTAGCCAGGTAGGCATTGACCCATCTCTTCCTTGAAGAGATGCTCCACTCCCCTTATTGTTTTCCTCACCTGCATTTCTTCTTTTGCAGCTTTTTCATGTGGCCTATGTCCTCATCAAGTTTGCCAACTCCCCAAGGCCAGATCTCTGGGTACTTGAGAGATCCACAGACTTTGGACTCACCTACCAACCTTGGCAGTACTTTGCCTGTAAGTAGACTCTAAGCTGTGACCCTTGACAGGTGGGAGGGATATGATGGTGAAGGCCCAGGAAAAGTGGGACATATGTCCCTGGGAGATCTGGAGGCAAACCTGCACTGTCCAACTTTTGTAAGGGGCTCTATGGCTCTGTGAACAGATCAATGACAAAGCGGGCATGGGAGATGCCAGAGAGCTGCTGTTACACATCTCAGCCCCATCAGCCCACGATGCCTGGTATTTTGGCTCTTGCTATTGCCAAGACTGTGTTTATAGAGTAGGGGCCGCACTGTCTGCTTCTTAGGTAACTGGGACAATGGAGCATCTTCCACAATTCCCATCCATACATACTTCTCCAGGTTCTCTTCTCTTCTGAAGTGTTCACCCTGCTGTTCTGGCCTTTTTGACTTACAGGACTACCCTTTGGGAGTTCCATGGTCTGGTCTTGACTTTGCCACTGACTGGGGGCAATCATTTCACTTTTCTGGGCCTCAATTTCCTTATCCTTTAAAATGAAGGATGCGGATTATAGTGCTTCTAAATTCCCTTTCAGGTCTGCCATTCTTTATTCTTAGGTCCCTTCTGTTTCCTAGGTTCTACGTTTTAATGTTCCTTCCATATCTGACATATTATGTTATGTTTTAAAGGTTCCTTCCATTTTCGATATTCTTTGTTCTGAGATTACCTCCTGCTCTGACATTCCATATTCTATATTTTAAGGTCCCTTACCACTCTGACATCCCTTGTTCTAAGGGCCCTTCCAGCTTTCTGTTTTAAATTCTATTCTAGTTTGGACAGTATATGTTCTAAGTTCTCTTTAAGCTATAATATTCTGTGATTCTAAAAGCTCTATTCCTATGGCTAGCATAATTGTGAACTTGGAGAATATTGCCTCTGGTGGCCCATACTTTCTCTCCCCCTTTTTTATCTTGATTCCTTCAATCCCACCTCAAGGTTCTAAGGACTTCTTGTCTAGGAGAAAAATATAAATAAACTTCCTCCCTCTGAAGTATTCAAAGCTAAATAGGTTTTCCCTTTCAGGGGTGTTTCCATTTTAAAAGAAAAGCCTGGAGAGCATTACTTACACCTTGAGTTATAGTTTTGCCTGTACTTGCTTTATCTTCCCAATAGTCTATAAATCTCTGAGGGCCTGGACTGTATCATCTTTATCTTGAATTCTCCCTGCTCTGAGCCTGGTTGCCCTGTGCCTGCATACTCATAACACATTCATACTTCAAGAAACAAACTTAATTCACCCGAGATTTAGTAAGTACCTGCTATGACCAAGGTACTGGGTATGTACAAAAGTAAAAATGAAACCATCCCTGCCCAGGAGGGGATTTATTCTGCTGATGAGATACAGAGACATATGTTAATGTTAATAAAACATAGGTTAAATTAAAGAGAGGGGAAACACTATCCACTCTGGGCCACAGGAAAGGCTTTCTGGAAGAGGTACCACTTTACTTACAGTTTTTCTCTCCTTCCCAACTCCTTTCCTTGTACTAGGGACTTCAGCATAGATATTCACTCTCCCTCAAATGCCCTAACCTCTCAGTCTGCTCCAGTGAGCTATGCCCCCACCCCCACCTTTGAGTTCAAGAATTCTGAAATCCAACCCTTTATCTGGGCAGCAAGGTAGAGCAGTGGATAAAGTGGCAGCCCTTGAGTCAGGAGGACCTGAGTTCAAATCTGGCCTCAGACACTTAATAACTGTCTGATCCTAGGCAGGCCACTTAAGCCTGTTTACCTCCATTTCCTCATCTGGAAAATGAGCTGGATAAGGAAATGGTAAATAACTCCAGTATCTTTGCCAAGAAAACCACAAATGCGATCACAAAGTTGGATACACTAACCAACAACAAAATGGAATCATAATGGTCCCTTTAGCGACGCGAGAAGGTTCAGCTTTGGATAGTGTGATTTTGAAACACTGACTAGATATCCAGCAGGTAATTCATTCAGGAGAAATTAGCATTGAATATATAGATTTGGGAATCAACTGTGTTGAGATGTTAATTGAACCCCATGGGGGCAGGTGAGATCACTAGTGGAGAAAGGAAAGGAGAAAGGAGAAAAGAAAAAGAGATGAGAATGATCTAAGATGAAAAACAAGTGAGAAAGTCTTCCTTTGGGAACGTCCAAATTGGGCTACACCTTTTCATTGTGGCCATGATGCTTGCTCAATTTCTTCTACCTCCTGGTGAAATCTGGAGGGTTCCTAACTCTCCCTGACACACTCATGCCTGGCTCATACCATCTGTTCTCCTACAGCATCTAAGAGGGACTGCATTGAGAAGTTCGGGCTTCAGACTCTGGAGCGCGTCACCAGGGATGATGATGTCATCTGCACTACTGAGTACTCTCGCATTGTACCCCTGGAAAATGGGGAGGTATGACTGTGGCTGGTGGGGAGAGTGGGAATATAAAGGGCTATTTCAAGTGGGGCTAATAGAAATGGAAAATATCAGGTGCAGTCATGGGGTAGGGACTTAGGAGAGGGGAAGACATGAGGGAAAGACCTCAGAGTGATGGAGTTGAAGGGTTAAATCAGCTGTGGAAAAGGTTTCAGAAAATCAGGTATAAAAATGTTTCAGATCGTAGACTTTAAATGAGCCCCAAGCCCTCTCTGAGCTCTCTGCTGAGGCACTGGGAATAGCAGCCTGTGTCTGCTGTAAAGATACTTGGAACCCACACACAGACTCTCTCGAAAGCCCAACCTGTGTGCTTTTGTTTTTATTTGGCTCACTGCCTGAGTTCTTTTTAGGCCCTGGCATATGGCTCTCTACTAGAGGCAGAAGGAAGAGGCACAGTCCTTTATTTGAGGGAACCTCCAGCCTGAGGGAGATTCAGCACCTGTTCTTGGGGACCCTAGTCAATGGGAAATAGTATGAGGGAGGTATATATCCTTGGGGAGTCTGTGACCTGAAGAAAACAGCACCAGCCATTGGGTTTCCTTAGCCTGAGAACTCACTGACAGCTTTTAGGGAGTCCCCAATATGAGGAGAACACAAAACCTACTTTTACAGGAGCCCATCTTTTAATGGGGAGAGGTACCTCTTCCCTTCCTTGGAGAGAGACAGAAATCATACAGATGCCCTACCAGCAGCAATTGGAGCCATGGAGTTGAATGCAGACGGGCATGGTTGGCCACTTCTGTTTCAGATGCCCTGTCTTCTACAAGTTTTGAACTTTCCTTTCAGATTGTGGTGTCTCTGGTGAATGGGCGGCCAGGGGCCATGAATTTTTCATACTCCCCACTCCTTCGGAATTTTACCAAGGCCACCAACATCCGCCTTCGTTTTCTACGCACCAATACTCTACTTGGCCATTTAATGGGAAAGGCGCTACGAGACCCCACTGTCACTCGCCGGGTGAGCCTCCCACCCATAGCCTGGGGATGTCTAGGGAAATCAGGATGTTCGTATTGTCCCCCAAGCAGAGAGACCACATGCTTGGTAACCAGGCTGCGGTTTCATGCCTGGCTTGGATTCTCTGGGCCAGTGGTGCCAAGCTCAAATAGAAATGGATCCCTGCTGCTTCATATTGACTTAGAAAACCACAAATTAACATTATCTATGTTGTATTTTTATTTGTTAAATATTTTCCAATTACATTTTAATATGGTTTGGGCAGTACTCAGAAGTTTTACGGGCCTTGAATTTGATACCTCTTGTCTGGGACACCTGTTGCCCAGAAGATGAGTGATTTTACCAAAGATATATAACAAGCACAGTGGTAAAAGCAGTATTTAACCTTAGGTCTCCTAAGCCCCTACCTAGGACTGATTTTGACAGACCAGTCAGTTAGCACCCCACACTGAGTACTCCCCTGTACTAGCCTTTGGGGGATTTCTGGTCTGAACAGGGAGATTCCAGCCCCACCAGGCCTTGAGAAGTTACCTGTTATCAGCTTGGCCATTCAATTCTGCTGAAGGCTTAAAGTTCTTGGTGAGTGGGAGGGCAACAAGGGAGATGCTCACCTGTCCCACTGTTACAGTATTACTACAGCATCAAGGATATCAGCATTGGGGGTCGTTGTGTCTGCAATGGTCACGCAGATGTCTGTGATGCCAAAGATCCCACAAACCCCTACAGGTAAGAAGACCTTGAGGTTATATTTGTTTTTTCCCCATTCCTAGTACATATGTACACAAATGTGCTTGCAATCAGAAGAACATTGAACTGGGAGTAAGAAAGTCCAGATCCAAGTCTCAACTCCTTCACTGCCTGTAACCGTGGACAAGTTATTTGGCCTCTCATTTTCCCTCTTCTGTTATGGTGGCCTAATTCTGTCTGCTCCACCTAACTAACTTATCTGCTGGGAGGATCCAACATGGAATGTATCTAGTGATTTGTATACTGCAAATCTTCCCTTCTCGTGGAAGGGGTGATTGTGTTTGTGGCTTATATGTGGGTGTGTGTTTGTCCCTCATTACACATCTGTATAAATGTGTGTATGACTGAGCATCTATATGTGATGGGTCAGTCATTTCCTCAGGGCTGGTATGACCGTCAGACAATTTCTGTTTTCTCCCCACCCATTCTGCTTCCTGTTTTGTCCCCACCCTGCCTGTTCTGTCCTTATCAGAGTCTGTTTTCCATGGATTTAGGGCTATTTATGTGTTTGGGGAGATGAGCTTGGAAAACTAATGGAAATCGGAAGGGGGAACAGCAGTGCTAGGACCATGTCTGGGAATCTAACTCCCTGGGAGCAGGGCGCTCCTTCAGACTGAGGTGGCCTCTTCCCACCACAGACTTCCAGAAATCAGTCTGAGGGGGCTTGGAGCCAGCACAGATGAAGCCTGCACAAGCTCTCACCCACGCCCATGTCCGGCAAATTAGACCCCTGCACAAGCAGCCTCTGTTTCCAGTTACATCTCAGCAGCTGGAATGTGCCAGTCATGGCCATGGGGGTGGGGGTGAGGGAGTTTCTATATCATGGGCACAGATTTATTCTGGGCATCCACTGAAGGACTGCAGAGTTCTTGGTATTAAGGCCAAGTCCTAACCAGGCTTTGGGTAGGGGTGGGTGGTTGGGAAAATAACTTATTACTGATATCAGGAACTGATGTCAGGGCTAAGAATGTGGGGATGGAGGTACTCAGTCTGGAGGAACTCAGGCTTTTCTAATTGGGGCCTGTTTAGCCTCCAGTTCCAGTCCAAGCCAGAATTTGTCTTTCTCTTAGCTCCCCTGGTCATGGAAGAAGCCAGGTCCCACTGTTTGCCTTTGCAGGGAGGCCTGCCTGGCCAGGCATCCTGAGCTATAACAGTCCACTGGTTTCTCAATCAAAAAAATCTCATAGGATCAAAGAACCTCAAAGTTGGAAGAGACTTCTAGTGTAACATCCTGCCCATACAGAATTCTTCTCTATAGCATCCCTTATAAGTACCTGACTTCTGTTTTGGGACCTCCAGAGATAGGGAGCTCATGGCCTCCTAAGGGTAAAACTAGCCTGTCCTTGAGTATTTCCAATGCTGATTCTTAATGCCTGAAGAGCCAACCTAGGGCTAGAGAATTTTCTCAATCTCTCAACTGACTCTTGGTTGTTTATGGGTCTGGTAAGCAAGTAGTACCCACAGATAATCCAAAAACCACTCTACCTGTTCACTTTAGCTACTTCTTCCTCTTCCCCAACTGGTGGCAGTGTATTTAACAGGGAATGGAAAGTGGGGAGTGGAGGAAGGACTACAGCAGATGCCGGATAATCAGGCCCTCAATGATTGAGATGGAGCTCTGGTCAGAGTGTTGGACTTGGGGTTAGTAGAAACCTGGATTCAAATCCTACCCACCCATGACAGTTGTGTGTGTGTGTGTGCTTGGACACAAATTTAAAGTTTTTTACAACCTGGCCTCTCCTTACCTTCCTACCTAGTCTTTTTACACAATAATCCCTCCATGCACTCTGTAGTCAAGCTACACTGGTCAATTTGCTATTCCTTGAATAGGACATTCCCATCTCCAATTTCCATGCCTTTGCCCTCTTTGTCCCCCACACCTGAAATGCTCTGTCCCCTTACTCCCCACCTCTTAGCTTTCTTGGCTACCTTCAAAACTTAGCTCAAGTCTTATCTTCTGCAGGAAGGGGACTTTCCCAGTCATCCAGCTGTTCCCTTCCCTCTGAGATTATTACCTTCTATGTATTCTTGAATACATATTTGTAATATACACACACATATGCATATATATACATGCATATACACTCACACACTATACACACATATGCATATACATACACACACACACACACACACACACACACACACATATATATCTTGAATGTGCCTAGTTATTTACATGTTGTCTCTCCCGTTAGAATGTACATTCATTGGGGCAGCTAGGTGGCGCAGTAGATAGAGCACCAGCCCTGAAGTCAGGAGGACCTGAGTTCAAATCTGGCCTCAGCCCGAACACTTGACACGTACTAGCTGTGTGACCCTGGGCAAGTCACTTAACCCCAATTGCCTAAAAAAAAAAAAACCAGAATGTACATTCATTGATGGCAGGGTCTGCCTTTGCTTTTTGGGTGTCCCCAGTGCTTAGCACAATGCCTGACATATAATGGGTGCTTAATAAATACTTGTTGAATGACTTGAGTATAAGGGATCTGACCCTGGGCCTCACTGATTACTGAATACATTTAGTTTTTATGGGGATGCTGGCTCCTCTTTGGAACAGATTCAGGGAACCTTGTCCTTGACTCCAGAGCTTTTCTCCTTTATACATTTCTGGACCTCACTTGATCTCTAATCCCTAGCCCAGAACACTGAATTTCCTTGACTTTCTTGACCTCTGAACATACTTTAATTCCATGTTTTCAGATCTCTTACCTTATTCCTAGTTACCTTTTTAGCTTCTCTTGGACACTGCCATTGCCACTGTGTAATCATTATGCTCAACTCTAGGACACCCCTTCCCCTTACTACATCCTAGCCTTCTTTGACTTAAGCAAGTCATTCACAAGGAAAAAGAAAATTTTCAGTTTAGAAACAATTAGCCAGCATGAGGTAATTAGAAATACATATATATGATTTCTACCTAGCCAGTTGGGTGAGGGCTAATTTCTAAACTGTTCAGTTTAGCTAGATTTCCTGGGCCTAGTTAAGCTCTGTTAGCTTCTCTGGGCCTGGAGCTCACTGGCTCTTCTACAGGTATAATCAGCCATTTCAGCATCTGAGGCAACCATGGCCCAGAGTAAGTAGCGTGAAATGATCCCTCAAAGCAATTTTGTAATTCGTGATGTGAAAATGATACAAGTAATTAAGACAAATTCATTGGAGTGGGAAGGAGAATTATTACTATAGTGGCTTAGGGGGTTACATTTCAGAATTGGAAGGGATCTTGGAGATTATCTAGTCCAAACAATTGGATTTGGGGACCCATGCTCTTTCTATATCACCAGAAAGCTGCCAGTCACCCCCTGTCCAACCAACATGCAGGGAAATGGATGGTCTCTGGAAGATTACTCTCTCTTCCTTGAGGAAGCTAACAGAGAGGATGAGATAGAGTCTGGTTTTTAGGCTAAGGAGGGAGGAAAGGAAAAACCCTGGAATGAGGATTCTCCAGGTTAAGGGAATGGGGATATTTCTTTATGGAATGAAGGGAGAGATCTGTTGGAGTGCACAAATGGAGTGCACATATAAAAATTTTGTACCCTTTAAATGTCATGGGATAAAATAGGATGAAGCTCTAAGATATCCCTCCCCTCCAGGAAGGCTTTGGATTCTTCAAGATCCCCCAAGGATAATGCAGTCTTATACTCCAGAACAGCCATATACATGACCACGTAACTTTGCTAGAACTCAATCAACAAATGTTTACTAAGCACCTACTGTGTGCCAGGCACTATGCTAGGTGCTGGGAATATAAAGACAAGAAAGAAAGAGCACACCTCCCCTACCCCTACCCCTCCCATCCCCACCTCCCAAGGAATTTTCCATTCTATCAGTTCACTATACTGTAAAAGTGAGGAGATCATAGGATTTAGAACTGAAAGATACTGTTCAAAAGCACCTAATACAAATAGCTTATTTTACAGATAGGAAAACTGAGGTCCAAAGGACTCAAATAACTTGAAAATTTTGCATAAAATGAGAGTTGCCAGTTCCTTTGTCTTCCATACCTAGGGCTATGATTCAGTGACCTTATGATTCCATCTCAGACCCTGAAGTTCCTCCTTCTTTGTGCTTATAAGTTATTGAAGTGAGTCCTTCAAACTATCAAATTCCCATGAGGCTGCCCTCTGGAGAGGCAGTGTGGCATAGTGTAAAGAGCACTGATTTGGAGTCTGAGGATATCTGTTCAAATCCTGTCTGGGCCATTCACTACTGGATGACCGTGGGCAAGCTGCCTTTCTGTTTTGGGACTTCAATTTTCTTATCTATAAAATGAGGGGGTTGGTCCCTTTTGAGTCTTTGAGCTATGAATTTCATGATCCTTACTATGTATTGTCTTGGTTAAGTTACTTCTCTGGGACTCAGTTTCCTCTTCAGTGAAATGAAGCAGTTGCACTAGAAGATGTTTGGGAACCTTCCACTTTTAAATCCTATTCACCTTGTGATGATTCTACTTTCCCCTTCCCATTAGAGATTCACCCCCAAAGGTGCCTTGGATCAACTTTATTCATTGATTTACAGTCTTATATCATTCTCAGCCAATCAGGCAGCCTCCACATTACTGCCAAGCTTTGGTTGCTCTGCCCACATTCCTATATAATCACTTGGCTGACTAGATATCATTCCTTCCTTGGCCTGAATCAAAGAGAGAAAAAGAACTATTATAGACTCTTGAAGCTGAGAAGTGTCTTAAAAATCATCTAATCCACCTCTTTCATATTACAGGTGAGGAAACTAAGGCCTGGAGAGGCTAAGGGATTTGCCGTGGGTCACCTGACTAATATATCGGTCAGCTGGGAATTTGAATTTGAATTGAAATGAACTGCGTGCTCCTTTCTCTTTTGCTATACCATACTTCATACACAACATTAAAGTAGTTCCTTCAACCAGAACACAAAATAATAATTCAACCAGCTAATTTTCCCTCGAGGTTTATAGAAGATAATTTCTTTCATTATAGTGTGGGTGGTGCTTTTTTTTAAATAGATGATTCACTTAACCCTCAGATTTAGGAAAGGTTATAATATCTTCCACTGATACTTCCTCCCCCCACACTCAAATACTTCCCACCCCCAGGTCGGGTAGCATTGACTCCCATTTCTGAGTGTCAGTTCCTCATCAACTTACAACCGTCCTGTTGAGTGAGTGGGTTTCCCCCTCTGGGGCCAACAGAATTTCTTTCTCTGTTTTGGCCCCAGTGTTATGGAGCTATCCCCCAGGGCTCTGGCTGCCTCCCATTTCCAGCAGGATACTTTTGGATTCAAAACTAGGAGATGTAGAAACTCAGCCCCCAGCAGCTGTTGGCCTCGAAGGAGCAGGATCTAGACTGAGGGGGTTAGCCTGTAACTGGAGGCCCTGGGAACCCTCCAAGGGGCTCTGAGTTCATGGACACCTTCCCCTGTAGCTTAAGGCAGGATCTACCACTTTGGGTCAGGAGCAATGGGAAGCTTCCTTCTCAGAGTTCAGGATCATCAGCAGTTACCTCTCTGAAGTAGAGGTTATGAGCTGCCCTCATGGTTTCTGCTTTACAAATGGCTAAACTGAGGGACAGGCTTGGGTTTCATTGCTTGGCTCCATAGTAATGGAGGAGGACTCTTTAGGGAGGGGAGTAGGCGAACATAAACCCCTGAACGTTGAGTCTCAGGCCTATCTTCTAGAAGAGTGCGGGGAAGGGGAGAGGGGTCTGGTCTTACCCTTATCTAGGAGTTGGTGTCTAATGACCTTCCTGAATCCTGTGGATTAGTCTAATTAGGCTAGTGTTGGGGACATTTGCTTTTCATATGGCTAAGCACTCTTTTTCTCAAGAATATGTCTAAGTTGCAGGGGAAATTGCTATGTGCAGATTGAAGGGCAAGTCTTGATCCAGCCTCAGTAGATACTACCATCCCTCACATATACTAGCTCTGGAGTATATAAGGGATGGATTCTGGGCCCCAGTGTCAAGCCTGAGGTCACGTTCTTTCACTTGCTGTCTATTTCTTAGGCTGATCCTGCTGCCTGGTTTCTTCTGAACTCACTAATTTTTTTTCAAGACTAAATTGATTAGACAGAGATTAAAAAAATTTTTTATTGATATTGTTTGTTTTTATATCACATTTTTGAATATATTTGCCCCCCTTCCCAAAGAGCCAACTCATATAACACAGAATAAAAAGAAAAAATAATTCAGCGAAATTTAAACATTAACCAAGTCTGACACTGCATGAAGTATTCCATACCCATAGTCCCTCATCCCCGTAAAGAAAGGAGGAAGGTACGTTCTCATGTATCTTCTTTGGTCATTTTGACAAGCTTGGTCAATATAAACTTGTAGCAATCAGTTTCAAGAGAGATTCTTTTCTAAAATTCAATTTTATATTATTTTCAAGTCCACTTTCCCTTCCGTCTAACCCTTCCCCCTGACCCATTGAGAAAGCAAGAAAAATAAAACTCATGACAAGCATGTATAGTCAAGCAAAACAAATGACCACATTGACCATGTCCAAAAAAAAAAAAAGGTCTCAATCTGTACCCCTGAGTCCATCACCTCTCTATCTGGAGATGGGTAGCATGTTTCATCATGAGTCATCTGTAATTGTGATTGATTGTTGAATTGATCAGAGTGCCTAAATTTTTCAAAGTTGTTTGTCTTCACAGTATTGTTATTGTATTAATTATTCTTCTGGTTCTGCTGACTTCACTTTGTATCAGTTTGTACAAGTCTTCCTAGATTTTCCTTAAACCATCCCCTTCATCATTTCTTATAGCACAGTAGTATTCCATCACCTTCATATAGCATAACTTGTTCAGCTCATTCATCATTCCCCGATTGATGGGCACACCTTCAGTTTCCAATTCTTTGCCACCCTAAAAAGAGTTGCTGGAAATATTTTTGTCCACATGAGTCCTTTTCTTCTTTCTTTGAGCTCTTTAGGATATAGAACTAGTAGCAGTACTACTAGGTCAAGAGTATGCATAGTTCAATAGTTTTTTGGGTATAGTTCCAAACTGCTTTCCTGAATGGCTGAACCACTGTATAGTTCCACTAATAGTTTATTAATGTACCTGTTTTCCCCAGACCCTGTGGCATTCGTCATTTTCCTTTTTTGTTAACTTTACCAATCTGATGGCCATATGAGGTCATGTTTAGCATTGTTTTAATTTGCATTTCCTTAATTATTAGTGATTTTGAGCATTTTTTTCATATGGCTCTTGAGTGCTTGGATTTCTTCCTCCAAAAACTGCCTATTCATATTCTTTGACCATTTTTTCAGTTGAGCAATGACTGGCTAAAGAGATTCTAGATTTAGGCGTTGCTCATCGGAATGTCCTGTCTCCAGTTGCTGCACTTACCCCCTCTGCTTAGTCCTCACTCCATCTATATATAAAGAGCTGAGAAGTACCCGCCTGGGTTCATGGTGTGTCCAGCTGAGTGATAAGTGACTTCTGTCTTTTGACTACACTTTGCTGATTACTGTGCATGTACCAATCTCCTGACTCTCTCAGAATGTTGCCAGCATAAATATTCAGTGTTCCTGCAACTCCACATGGCAAAGAATACTATGCTGTAAACAAAAACAGTTTGGAAAGCACTGGTCCTGATTATTTCCAGCTCTAAGTCTTGTGAACCTGTCAAATCGAAACTGTTGACATTTCCTACTGGCTGTTTGCCTGAGCACTGAGCCCCTCATGGTCCTTCCCCTGTGTTTCACCTTTGTTTTGTCCTAAGCTCCACCCCTACCCCTCTTTGTCTTCTCCAGGCTCCAATGTGCCTGTCAGCACAATACCTGTGGTGGTGCCTGTGACAGCTGCTGTCCTGGCTTCAACCAACTGCCCTGGAAACCTGCCACAATGGACAGTGCTAACGAGTGTCAGTGTGAGTACCTCTGCGCTGCCCTGCTTGCAGACGTGTGCCGACCTGTGTGTGTACAGGTACGTTTAGGTGCAGACTGCACCTAAACGGTGCAAGCACATGCTGACTTATAAATAGGTGTACTCACACACAGCCATCAGGGGATGATTTTGTTACCATCATCCTTAAGTGGCATTCAGGCCAGTGTTTTTATCCTATTTGTCAGTGGGGCAGATGAAGACCCAAAGTAAGGGTGTGATTTGCTCAAAGTAATATACCCTGTTAGTGACAAAACCAGGTGTCCTGACTCCTCATTGGGGGCTCTGTCCACCACTTTGTGCAGCCTCATCTAACTCATGAACAGGAGATAGACAGAGACGACCAAACCCTATACTTCACCTAGGAAGGCTGCCCTGGAAGATGAGAAGAGGGACTTAGAAGGCTGAGAGGGGGTCACAGAATGGGAAGTGGCTGGTAGGTTGTGCAGGGTCATAATACAGCCAGTCTCTTTTCTGTAGCCTGTAACTGTCATGGACATGCACATGACTGTTACTATGACCCAGAGGTGGATCGACATAAAGCTAGTAAGAACCGGGACGACGTCTACGAAGGTGGAGGTGTCTGTATCGACTGCCAGGTAAACTGATGCCGCCAGCCAAAGCATCCTAACCATACCAATAACTCACCTTTATAAACACATTGCCTCTTGTAAGGAGATAAAGTCTTATGATCCCCGTTTTATAGATGAGGAAACTGAGGTCCAGTGAGGGTCATTGACTTGCCAATGGTCACACAGCTAGTCATAATAATTCACATTTATATTGTCATTGAGGGTTTACAAGGCTCTTTCCTCACAGCATCCTTGTGAGATTGACAGTGTTAGAACCAAGATTTGAATTCAAGTCTTCTGGCTTCAAGAACAGGGCTCTTTCTACTGTACTACTGTGTAGGGGCCAGGCCCCAGGAGGAAAAGGGCTGCCCTTTTATTGAGAGTAAGGTATAAGTTGCTAAGCTCTGGAAGGGGGAAGACTTTGCTGTTCTGGTTTGGCTGGAAGTGGGGTCATAGACAGTATGACCACAGGGCCTCAGGCTAGGTCATGATATCCGAACTAAAAAGCATCCTCCAATCTCCCCACTTCCCTCCCTCCCTCACCTACTCCAGCACCACACAACTGGCATCAACTGTGAGCGCTGTATCCCTGGGTATTATCGGTCACCTGAGCATCCCACTGACTCCCCCTATGTCTGCTACCGTAAGTAGGCCCTACACTGGCAGGTGGGAGGGGAGATAGGACTCTTGCCCCAGAATTCCCATCAGGGTTACTCCTATGTGCGCTGGAGACCTGAGAAGGTTGGGTGGGTAGTATTCTCATTTTCCTAAGATGGAAGGCCGAGACCCAGAGTGGCTTTCCCAAGGTCACATAGTGGTAGAACTGAGGCTATCTTTATTTCTTCTGATAATCCAACCTGGATCTGTGGAGGCTATCTCCTTTCCCTGGGCTCCAGAGGGAGAGAGAGGGAGTCTGGGACTCTAGCTACCTCTCAGCTGTCCCATTCCCTGTTTCCAGGTTGCAACTGTGAGTCAGACTTCACCGATGGGACATGTGAGGACCTGACAGGCCGTTGCTACTGCAAACCCAACTACACGGGGGAGAGGTGTGATGCGTGTGCCAAAGGGTTCACAGATTTCCCCCATTGCTATCGTGAGTATCAGGACCAGGAGGAAGCAGGGGTTAGGTTGGGGGCAAGCTGGTTCCTGAAGTTTCAATTATATGTGTGTCTTTCTTCACCTAAGAGAAATAAATCAAAAGTCCTATTTTATGTGCTCTGGGGCTACTATGTAAAGGATCCCTGAGCTGAATCCTTTTGATAAAGCAAATAATTGTCCCATGATTGGTAATCTTGTGTATGTTTAAAATTTCATCTAAAATGAGCTTATGTGAGAACTGGAAAGGTCTTAAGATCATCTAATCCAGCTTCCTCATTTTATAGAGCAGCAAAGCAAGGCCCTGGGAAGTGGAGGGACTTAAGGTCACGTCACTAGGGGGAGAGCTGAAATCTACTCCCAATCCAGCAGCTATTTATAGTCCCAGGGTTTTATAAACTAAAACATGGTGGGCTTTCTGAGAGCAAAAGTCTGTGGTATTCCTCCTCCCATCCTGGAATCTTTGGAGCAAATCAGGAACATTATATTCCGGCAGGTATTCTGGGTGGGAAATGTCAGTAACTTTTTTGGTTTTGCTCCCCCCACACACACCCTCACCCCACCCCTTACAGCTAGTTTTTACTCACTAAGACCTCCAGGGGACAGGACTGCCATATGAGTGGGAATCACATATGCAACCATTAACCAAACCACCCAAGTACAGCTGACTCACAGGCAAATTTGTGGGTCTGGGCCTATGGTAAGAGGTTGGTGTGTAATCAGAATAAATCTAGGAAGGCTTCCTAGGAGAGGATTTCTGGATTTCTAGAGCTGGATTTCTGTGAGCAGTAAATTGAGGGCTGTGTATCCAAGTTAGGGAAAGTAGGTAGTGTCTGTATATGATTATGAAGCTAGGTCTAGGTGTGACATTAGAATGGTCCCAAAGCAAAAAGGACCAAGGTAGGGGAATGCTTTTTTTTTTATAGTGGGAGTGAGGCCTATTAGGTTGGTGGGAGGGTACCCAACAGCCTCTAAGAAGTGAGAGATAGAAACCTAGCTGGGGCATCTGTGTGACTTGAGGATGTCTCTTCCCTCCTTCAATCCCCTAGCTGTGCCCTCATTCTCCCACAATGACACCGGGGCACAGGTGCTTCCGGCTGGACAGATTGTGAGTAAGTATCTAATACTTGTGACCCCCCACGCCCCTTTCTTTTATGAGGCTCAGTTCCCTGTGCCTCTGAGAAAGAGCCCCACAGACAGAACTGGGGCTTGGAGAAGGCCATAAACCCCTATAATTCCTATGCCCACTTCTGTCCTAAAAGCTCCTAGTCCTTGGGAAGTCCCCAGTCTGAAGGGATATAGAAATAGCCATGCTGTTGGGGAGCTTCCAGCCTGAGGAGGCAAACATAGCCCCTGCCATTAGGGCTTTCCCAGCTCCCACTTAAACTGTATGCATGTGGACAGAGCAATGGGCAGAATTTCTGGGGCCATGCTGGATAGTATCCATGTGGGATTATTCAGGGAAGGCCCCTTGGAAAGGCTGTTAGAGTAAAAGACTGGCAGGGGCAGTGGAGAGCTGGAGCCATGCTGGATTGGGACAGGGAGGGATAAGGGAGTAGTCATGTGCAAACATTACTCACCGCCTACCGTCCCCAGACTGTGACTGCAGCGCGGCTGGGACCTTGGGAAATGCCTGCCGGAAAGACCCACACATTGGCCAGTGCGTGTGTAAACCCAACTTCCAGGGTGTACATTGTGAGCAGTGTGCCCCAGGCTACTATGGGCCAGGCTGCCTGCGTGAGTGTCTAAGCTCGGTGTTGCCTTTCTGGGCTCCCCACCCAGGATTCAAGACAAATCAGGGGGACACTGAGGGAGGCTCTCTGGCTGTTGGTCCCACCGTGGGTTGGGGTGGGAGAAATGTGGCCCTGAGGCCTTGAGAGAGGGATGTCTTCCAGTCGTGTGGTCCCAAGGGAAGGTGCGTGGATGGGTCTGGGGTCGGGAGGCTCCCCCTATTTACTCAGACTTTCTGCTCCTCCTCCAGCCTGCCAGTGCTCCGGCCCTGGCCAGACTGGTAGCAGTTGTGACAATGAGACGGGGCAGTGTGTGTGCCGCACTGGCTTCGAGGGCCCTGCCTGTGACCGCTGTGCCCCTGGCTACTTCAGCTATCCACTCTGCCAATGTAGGTTGCCCCTCCCAAGGCTTACATGCACGTCGCGCACCAGCAGTCACACCCGACACGCAGTCATCCACATATAAGCACACATGTGGCATGGTCCTCCTGGCTCACATTTCTTTAGCACAGCTTCCTCACAATAACCTAGGGAAGTAGGAAGTATGAGTATTATTGCCCCCATTTTGTAAATGAAAAAAATGAAGGTACAGGTTGGTCACTGGTTTGCTTGAGTTCACAAGCTTAGTTTTAAAGCTGGCATGCGAGCCCAGGGCTCCTGATTCCAGGTCTGTGCACTTTCCATTATACCTCCCAATGACTTATAGTTAAGTAGGCACAGAGACACACTTATGCCTGTTTCTACCCCTAAACCACTGACACAACTGTGTCAAACATAGCCCCCTTAAATTTAAAGGGCGTTAGAGGCCATTCCTAGGACTCCCTTTGCCAAGTCTGGGAAGGAGAAGGGGGAGTTGGGGATCATAGACCAATGGGGCTGAGAGGCAATATTGGGGAGAGGGAAGGAGTTCAGGGCCCAGGGACTGACTAGAGAGAGTTGGGAAGGCCCAGGGAGGAGTTTTTCAGGTAGGGCTATAACCAGTTCCCCTTTGCCCCTGTAGTATGTGGCTGTAGCCCTGTAGGGACTCTGCCTGAGGGCTGTGATGAGTCTGGGAGATGCTTCTGCCGCCCCGAGTTCGATGGCCTGCACTGTGACCGCTGCCAAGCTGGCTACCACTCCTACCCCCAATGCCAAGGTTAGCAAGACTGGGACTCACTTGGGAGCTGGAGGGCCAAAGATGAGGGGAATCAAGGGCCTTAGAGCTGGGGAAATCAGGCAGCCCAGGGAAATAGACTATGGGGCTGAGGAAATAGGAGGGGGCAACACTCATCTGCGTTGAGAAGGAAATGAAATCGTATCTGGTTAGCAGCAGGAGTGCATAGCTTACACTGTAAATTCAAAGAAAGGGGGTTAGAGAGGACTGGAGGAAGTCAGAGGAGGAGGCTGTGCCTTGAAGTTTGGGCAGTTCAGTGGAGGGTTAGAGGTATATGGGAAGTGGAGGGAAAGTGTGGGGTAAAGCCAAGAGACAGGAAGACACACAATGTGTTTGGGGAGCATTGTGAAGAAAGGCCTGGATTCAGTACTATCAGCTTTTATTAAGTGCCTCCTAGGTGCAAGGCTCTGTTTCTAGACATAAGGAAGAATGGATGGGTCAGACTATGAAGGGCCTTGAATGCCAGACTGAGGAGTTTGGAGCAAAATGTAGCCATCCACCAGCTCATTGTTTCTGTATCCTATGCTTCACCTCCTCCCCAAGTTTGTTCCTGTGACCCTCGGGGCTCCTTGGACCAGTTATGCAGTGGGGCTGGAATGTGTCACTGTCGGCCTGGTTATGCTGGGTCTGCGTGCCAGGAATGTGCCCCTGGCTATTATGGATTCCCCAACTGTATCCGTGAGTGGATCCTCCTTCCCTTCACCCTTCTTCCCACTCCCCAAGGACCTCCCTCCCCAGTAACCCATGGTCCCTTACTCTCCACCCCTAGAGGAAAGGAAAAACAGGATCTCATTCTTTACTGTCATCTGTAAAATGGGAACATCTCCCATTCGCCCTACCCAAGGCAGAGAGTATGTGTGCGGGGGCCTTGCACTGAGGTAACGAGACTGATTGTGTCCTCTGCTCTGACTGTAGCTTGTCACTGCTCTGAGGTTGGGTCCCTCCACACCACCTGTGACCCTGAGACTGGGCAGTGCAGCTGCCGGCCACGAGTGACTGGTCTGCACTGTGACACATGTGTGCCCGGGACCTACGGGTTTCCCCGCTGTGAAGGTAGGTCTGCACCTTCCCTCTGGAGCAGAAGGGACTCTGCCCACTGAGGCTCAGAATTAGCCCAGGTGCCCATGTGTTTCTGTGTGTGTGTGTGTGTGTGATCATTAGTTTGACCTGGGGAATGTAACTTGTTTTGCATATGTTTATGTGTCTGTATGCTTGTATGTAGGGTTGGTAAAGGATAGTCAGTATCTACATGGATGTTGTGTGACTCTGGTGCTGTTTAATGGATAGGCTAAAGTGAAGCACATGTGTTTGTACACACACAGGTGCCATCAATCCCTGAAAACACCCCATGGTCTAGACCAGTGATGTCAAACTCAAATGGAAACAGGGGTCATTACTCTGTTCATAAGGATCCTGCAGGCTACATTTTTTAAAAGATATTTTAAGAGAAATATAATTTTATTACTTTCAAAATGAATTAAACAAAGGGTTGCCTAGCAGGCATCCCTCAAGATTCACTATTAACCAGTAAATAAGATGTCATGTATTTTTGGAGGCGTGACCAGAAGGGCCTCTAATCAATTTGCTGAGTTCCTCAATCACTTTGATGAGATAACAGGATGTATGTTTTTCTTAGAAGGGTAAACTTTCCATGAAGCTAGATATGGGCCATAGCTCACTTCTCTGCAGGCTATGTATTGACTTAGTTTTTAAATTTAATATTGTCTATGTTTTATCGTATTTTTTTTATTTTGCTAAATATTTTCCAATTATATTTTAATCTGTTTCGGGCTGCACTTGGGAAGGGCCATGTGTTTGACCCCTCAGGTCTAGACAGCCCATTTTGCACCACAGGGCTCTGTTGTCATTTGGGATTCCAGGACAAAGATAGGAATTATTAGGGTTGGAGAGGAGGAAGCCCTTCTTCCCCACCTGTGCTTCGGACACCACTCTCCCTTTGTTTCTCTCCCCACAGTTGGCTCCTGCGATCCAGCTGGCCAGGCCTCAGCCACCTTCTCTCTCTCTGAGGTAAATTTGCTGGTGTTCTGACCTCAACACAGGACGAGGATTTGTGCATGGCTGGGGCAGGAAGAACCCAGGGCTGGGTATTGGGAGACCTTGATCCCAAAGCCTCGTTATGCTCCTCTTTCCTTTGTGCCCACAGCCCAAGGTCCTCCCTGGACCTCTGTTTGCCAATTCTTGTCATAGAGGAGGGGAACATTGCCTTCTCAGTGGTGTCCCAATGAACCCCTTAGACTCTGGGTTAGACTTGGAGACTGCTATGATTTGAGAGTCATGTCTCAGAGGCAGCATCTAGGACCAATCTATTCTTCATTATCTGCACATGAATTTTTTAGAGTAAAGTGTTAGTATCAGGATGGTTTTTCCCTCTTTTCATCCCAGTTTTCTTCCCCATCCTGGTTTGGTTTTGATTCAGGAAGTAAAAACTTTAATAATTTTAGCACAACATAACTAGGATGGTATGTTGTTTTAATATTAGGTTTAAATAATTGAAACTCAGTGGGATCACAGTTCCCTACTCCCAGTAGAAGGATAATTCAGAGGAAGTGGTGGTAATATTTTCACTTGGTGGTTTTGAGTAGAGCATGCAAGTGTTCTGACTCTCTTTCTCCTCCTCTTTCAAAAACACAGGGTTCCTGTGAGTGCCGGGCTCACGTGGAGGGTCCAAGATGTGATAGGTGCAAGCCTCTCTATTGGAACCTGAGCCCAGCTAACCCCTACGGCTGCAGAAGTAAGTCTCTGTGCCTGCCAGGCAGTGGTGGGGAGGGAAAGTGGAATCTGCTCTGGAACCTGGGACAAGGCATAAGGGGTTTACCACCATATTGTCTGTGCCCCCACCTGGCCTCTCTTCCATCCTCTTGGCCTCAGCGGTCAGTGGTAATGCTGGTCTTCAGGAGCTACTGGTACATACAGTACACTCTTCAGGTACACCAGTCTCATAGTTGAAAGGAGCCTTAGCAATTGTCTAGTCTAGCCAGTACTTTGGTAAAATCCACATCCTCACTATAACATCCTTGACACCATTCAGTCTCCTTTTGAATACTTGTAATGAAAGGGAACTCTTTACTTCATGAGGCAGCCATGAAGTTTCCCTAGTGCTCTTTCCACTACACCTTCCAGTGACTTACAGTTCACTTTTGGATAACTTTAATTGTTAGGAAGTTTTTCTTTATTTAGCCCAGGTATGACATAGACCCCACTTACTCCCCCAGGCTCTTTCTCTCCATGGGCTGCAACTGGCTCTGGCTCACTCACTCCACTGGTACCCACTTTGGCAGGTCCTCAGAGAGGTGACCAGGCAGCTACTACTTTAATTCTAGTTAGGACTAGGGAGTAACCCTTGTCAGTGACTATTCCCACTGACACTATCTCATAAGCCCCCACCAGTGCATTTCCCATTAACAAATTAGCCATTAACATTCAATCTTAACCAGAACTGAAAATGCAAAGCAAATTCCTAATAATTACATAACATCTTCTTCATAAGCCTCATTTACATTCTTCCACTAATTTGCACAGTGTCTATGGAGAGACTAGGAACACAGCTAAAGTCCCAGTGCATTAACGCACATGCAGAGTCAACACAAGTGGCTGAGGTATCTCACAACTATGGAAGAGGGGGCTTAGATGTCCTCTTACTGTCTCGTGAACTTTCCAAAAAAGTTCCTCGATGAGAATAGCTTCTGTATTGAACAGATGCTTCTACGGTTAAACTGAGCTGAGCATGCTTCGCTTGACTAACACTTAACTAACACCTTACTGGGCATTATGTTTCAGCTGGACTTGTTGAACCACTAGATTCTCTCCTTTGAAGTTGAACCTCTACTTGTCTGGACTCATTCCTCAATAGCAACCGTAATATCCATAATTTCCAGCTTTAAGCTGAGTCAATAAACTCTTTTAAGAAAAGGCAATGACCTTTCTTCTGAAGGTGGCAAAAGCCTCTCCAGCTCTGCTTCTTTATGGGATTCTTTTCCTTCTCTGCCTTCCAGAAAGAACAGGTGGCAGTGCAGGGAAATATCTTCTATCTTTTCTTTGATTCTCTTCTTCTTAGCATCAAATCATAATAGAGAACAGAGCATAGACTCTGTATTCCTTATTCTTCTTAGCAGGTAATAACAGAGAGCAGTTATCTTCTTTCTAACTCTTCCTATTCTCAGCAGCAGATGGCAGGATAGGATACACCAGTCTCTCATTAGCCAACCAGTTGGCCCAGGGAGAGGGAGAGGAGGGGGAGAAAGGGAGAGAGAGAGATAAGAATACTATAGCCTCTCTTTAACACAGTTTTGAAATTTGTGCTTTGACTTCTCTCCCTCTATTTTTTCTCCTAACTTTTCTTGGTCCTCTCTATGAATGATCCTATCTTAGCTTATGGTTAGTAACCATATTCTCATCTTGTTTATAAACAGGTAAACTATATTTGTCTCATAATCATAGAACAATTCTGGTGTCCATATTTCCTAGTCATTAGCCTAAAATTTCTCCAATTCTTCATATGTAAATTACTGAAATAGATTATGTTCTCCATTTGCTCCCATATTCTGCAGAATGTCCTTTCCCTTCAAGAATACAGGGAAAGAATTTGAAGGGAAGAACAGAGAGGATTTGGGGTTGTCTCCATCCTCTACTATTATTCTGGGAGTGAAATTCTTTCTTACCTCCTCTTCCTCTCCAATAGTTCAGGTCCATTAATCTTGTTTTTACCAGTGGGGCTGAGCAGGAATTAGGGCTGCGTTATGTGACTTGCCTCCAGGCTTCCATAGCACAGCAGTTTCCACTGACTGGGAAGACCAGTTGGCTGTGACCGTCTGCATTTCTGCCCTCATCCTTCCCTGGGCTGTGCCTTGGCCTTATTTCTTCTATCCTCAGGCAAACTCTTCTTCCAACAGGCTGTAGCTGTGACCCTCGAGGTACCATCAATGGAGTGGCTGAATGTCAACAGGTAAGTGTCTGGGGGCCCGGAGCATGGAAGGTTTGTGCAGAGCACAAGAGTTAGGTGGCATCCTCCGGAGAATGTCATTCACTGGCAGCTTTTGTGCCTCATTTCACCTTTGGGTTGCTGTCCACAGGGCAATGGACAGTGTTTCTGCAAACCCAACGTCTGTGGTCAGATGTGCACCTCCTGCAAGGATGGCTACTTCAGACTGGACCATGCAGATTACTTCGGCTGTCAGAGTGAGTATCCCTGAGACCTGATGCTTAGGGCTTTCCAAAGGAAGCTTCAGGGAGGATAAAGATCTGGTTTGAGAACTCAGACTGACCAAGTGGATGCAGCAGAGCCCAAAATAGCCATATTGCTAGTTCCCTTGCTTTGCAATGCAGTACTCTTATCAATTACAGCTAGAAGGGCCATCTAGTCCAACCCCTTCATTTTGTAGAGGATGAAACTGATACTCAGGTGAAATTACTTCCTCAAGGTCACATGGCAAATTAGTGGCATAACCAGGAACTGAACCCAAGTCTAATGAGTCATAGTCCATTGTTCTTTTCATGGTGCCATACTACTGGGCTGCTAATCCAGACAATGAGTCTTTATTTATTGACTGCCCTTCTGTGATGGATGCTGAAGGAGAGAGACAGATAGGAGACTACACACTCTTCATCCTCAGGGAGCTCACGGTCTAGATGGGGAGATGAGATTCACACACACAGCACAATTAGAGAATATGCAAGGCTGCGTGTGATTCAGGGATGATTTCTGTTATTCAAAGCACAAAGACTGTAGGAAATCAGCCTGGGCTAGAGCACTCAGGGCAGGCTTCTTGGAAGAACCAAGGACTTGAACTGGACCTTGAAGAATGGGCATGATTTGAAGATGCAGAGAAGAGAGAGTTGGTTGTGCCAGGAGAGGGGAATGAAGAGAACAAAATCATGGTGGTGGGAATGTGCCCAGTCTCTGAAGAGATTGATCTGACTGGGATAGAGTGGTGTGCGTTGTAGGCTGTGTGGAGACATGAGTAATAAAATTGGAGCAGTGGAGTGGTTATCCATCTTGTAGTATCTCCTCATCCCACCACCAGCTTTTTAGCATCTGAAGACTATCTCATGTGCTTTCCTCCCTTTCCACAGCCTGTCAGTGTGATATTGGGGGAGCCTTGGCCCAGGGCTGTGAGCCAAGGACGGGGACCTGTCAATGCCGGCCCAACACACAGGGGCCTACGTGCAGTGAGTAAGTGCCATGACCACTCCCTGGGCATGGAGGCTACAGAGTAGCATTTCCATCAGTTCTTCATACCCCTAAAAGCTTTGGTCTGTGTATCAAAGGTACAGGGAAAGGGGAGGCATAGGGGTCAGAAGAATCAGGTTCTAGTCTCCACTCTCACACTTCCTGACCATGTGACTGGGCAAATCATGACCCCTTGCCACCCTCAGTTTCCTTATTTGTAAAATGAGGATGGTAATACTTGCATTCTACCTTACAGCTGTGTTGTGAGGAAAGAGTTTCGTAGACCTTAAAGTGCTATATATTGCTATTATCATTCTTCTCATTATTCCTGCAAAACATTATAGAGCCAAGTACCAATGAGGTTCAGTCACTGGTCTTACTAGTACCATTGTTCCCCCAGCTAGCACGGATAACTAAGTACTCACAAGCCCCAAATAATCCTGACTTCAGTGACCCAAGATGAATCCATGGTCCTTCCTGGGCAGCCCTGGCTCTAGGTGGCTTGGGCAGTGCTAGGGTCTGAGAGAGGTGAACAGGTAGAGACTGTGTACTCTGCCTTCCCCCAGGCCTGCAAGAGACCATTATCTCCCAGACCTGCACCACATCAGGTTTGAGCTAGAGGAGGGCTCCACACCTGATGGCCGGCCTGTGCGTTTTGGCTACAACCCCTTGGAGTTTGAGAATTTCAGCTGGAGGGGTTATGCCCAGATGACTCCTGTTCAGGTAGGCTACCCACTTCCTTCATTCCCACCTTATTCAATAGGCAAATCTTTATGGAGTCCCCATCATCTGTGCTTTGAGGGAAATGGGGAGGAGGAGATACTTAAGGAGCTCCTAGTCATTTTGGAGAAGCAAGACACACATTTGGAAAAGAGGATAATAAAATGTTCCCAAGTGTGTGATTCAAGCTATGGGTACACTAGACGTTTTGGAAAGATGGCATTGTGAGTTGGGATAGCTGTGGAAAGCTTTCTTGAGTAAAGTGGTATGAGCTGAGCCTTGTCGATGGTTTGGATTAGAGATGAGGGCATGACACTCCAAGTAGAGGGAATGCTGTGATTAAAGGTAAGGAGATGGGATTGAGTATCTGATAGGTGGTTGAACAAGGACAGTGGTGAGAGGCACCTGGATTGAACTCAGGCTGCAAGTTGGAGGGAGCTGTGCGGGGATGTAATTAGAGAGGGATGGTGAGATCTTAAATGTCAGGAAAGGCAGTACCCTGCTATCTGGGGTCTAGGGTCAGATTGCCGGATCAGATGAGGGTGACTGAGGTATCCCTCACTTTCTTTCCTATTTCTTTCTCTCCTCACAGCCCAAAGTAGTGGTGAAACTCAACGTGACATCACCTGACCTATTCCATCTTGTATTCCGCTATGTCAACCGGGGTTCCACAAGCGTGAATGGGAAGGTTTCAGTCCTTGAGGAAGGGAAGTTTAGCACCTGCAGCAACTGTAAGTGCAGTGGTTACTTACAACCTTAGAATTTGTTTACTCATACCCCTTCATTTTACAAAGGAGGAAACTGAGGCGTAGAGAGGTTAAAAGCCTCACTCAGGGTCCTAGAGTAATAGAGAGCAGAGCCAGGATTCAAACTTAGGTCTTCCTCACACCAAAGCCAGTGTCCTTTACACTACTCCATGCTGCCTCTCAGCCAACCCCAACTCTCTGTGCTGTTACCTGCTTTATCCTTTGTAGCTCTGTCCTCTTCTCTTTCCTCTTTTCACCTTCTTCTGTCCATCCTCACCTTCCCTTTTTTTCCCCTCATCCCCTGGATCTCAATGCTTATGCCCTCATTGGCCAGTTTAACAGTTAGAGCCATGGTGGGGCACCTATCCCACATGGATCCTGTCCTGGGCATGTTAAGGAATGCATGCACCAAGGAAGTCTGCTCCTGGGGGAGGGCACAGACTGGCCAAAGCCAGTGTGACTGCAGTGCAAGCTATGCATGTAGCTATAGAGCAAAGAAGCCATCACAGGGAGATGGGGAAAACAACTCAGAGGAAGTGAATATTCACTGGTGCTCTTCCTCGCATTGATTCTAGGCACAGAGCAGACCCGTCAGGTCATATTTGCACCCAGCACGGAGCCCGTGTTTCTTACTGTGCCCCAGAACAGCTATGGGGAGCCCTTTGTCCTGAACCCCAGTATCTGGTCCCTGGTTGTTGAGGCTGAAGGTGTCTTACTGGTAAGGACCTGGCATTTTATCCCATGGGGGCCCCTTGCCCCTCTGATGCATCCAGTATGATTGGTGACCTTAACTATTCTAACACTGACTTCTACATCTTCCCCAGGACTATGTGGTCTTGCTTCCCAGTGCCTACTATGAAGCCCCCATACTGCAGGTGAAGGTGACTGAGGCCTGTACCTACAACCCCAAACCTGAGCAAGTCAGGAATAAGTAAGGACCAGACTTATCTGAACTTTAACTTGTGATCTTAAACATTTAAAGAGGAAAAGAAAAGAACAACCCACAGCATATGCCCGTAGAGGCAGTGGGAGGAAAGCAGGTGAGGTGGGAGCTTTGGGATCTAGGGTAGGTTGAAGATGCCTATGGTCATTTCTGCACCAAGAGAGGACCCATCTTGGGCTCTTGGTCTGTCAAGGGAATGAAAAGGGGCTGTGCAGGGAGGGAGGAATGGGCTGCCAATGTGTGTGTTCCTTCTCCTTTCCCCAGCTGCTTCTTGTACACCTACCTCCCACTAGATGGCTTCCCTTTTGCCAGCGGGACTGATGCCATATGCCGCCTGGACAATAGTCTACCCAAGGCTTGCCTGATGGAACAGCCTAGTTCCTCCCACCCACCACTGGCCACTTGCTGGGGCAATGATGTGAGTGCCTGGTTCTCTCTCTCCCTCCCCCTAGGCAGAATGAGAGGAGGTAGGTTCTTGGGCGGGGGAGAGATGAGGCTCAGCTGGCCTCCCTGACTGGAGCCTCCCCAGTCATCCAGCCAGATCCTAAGCTGGGAGGAAAGGGAGCAAGGGTGGGGGAAGCCAAATCTGTCACTGCATCTGTGTGGCCTTGGGCTGGTCACCTTATCTCTGGAAGGTGCCATCATGTGCCTCTTAGAGGCAACGTGAGGGTGACGAAGATGGCCTTTCTATCCTTTCGTGCTTGTAAGAGGCAGTGTTGTATAGCGGATGGAGTACTAGAGGAGGAATGAGGAGACCTGGGTATGAATCCAGACTCAGATACTTGTTAGCTGTGTGATCATGGGCAAATCATTTAACTTCTCTGAGGCTATTTTTTTCTCTTTAAAAGGAGAGTAATAACACTTGCTACCTACCTCATAGAGTTGTTATAAAGAAAGTATTTTGTAAACTGTAAAGTCTTGTATAAATGTGTTGTTACCATTTTTGCTATTATTATGTCTTTCTGAAAAAACTCAAAATATAAAATGCCTAGTCATTTACAGTCGAGCAGCTAGGTGATGCAGTGGATAGAATACTGGGCTTGGAGTCAGGAAGACAAATTTGGCCTCTGACAACTTAGTTGCCGTGTGACCCTGGACAAATCACTTAACTCTGTTTGCCTCAGTTTCCTCATCTGTAAAATGAGCTGAAGAAGCAAATAGCAAACCACTCCAGGATCTTTGCCAAGAAAACCCCACCAAATGGGGAAACGAAGAGTTGGACATGATTGAAAATGACTGAACAACATATTATAACAACAAATCATGTATAGCATGTGTTAGATGCTTTTATTATAAAAGAGGTTCTTTTTTTTTTTTGGTGGGGCAATTGGGGTTAAGTGACTTGCTCAGGGTCACACAGCTAGTAAGTGTCATGTGTCTGAGACTGGATTTGAACTCAGATCCTTCTGACTCCAAGGTCAGGGCTGTATTCACTGTGCCACCTAGCTGCCCCTATAAAAGAGGTTCTAGATAAGGTTGGGGTATATATATTGGAGCCACTATGCAAAATGTAGCACCTGGATGGAGTGATACTCTATGGAGTAATTCCTGTACAAGTAAATGTCTTAATGCCATTCTAGGAGACTTGCTGTAAGACAGGGTATTGTTCTCTAAGAATGGTGATCCTCTAAATGAAGGAGTTAGTATTATATAGGTGGGGTATTCAAATGGCAAGAACTTATGTTTACATATCACATTAAGATTTTTTTTTTTTGGCTAAGCAATGGGATTAAGTGACTTGCCCAGGGTCACACAGCTAGTAAGTGGCAAGTGTTTGAGGCCAGATTTGAACTCAGGTCCTCCTGACTCCAGGGCCAGTGCTCTATCCACTGTGCCACCTAGCTGCCCACACATCAAGATTTTGAAAGTACTTTCCTCATCATACCACTGTGAAGTAGGTACTACAAGTATTATCCTCACTTTACAGAAGAAGAAACAGACTCAGAGAGATTAAAGTGACTTCTCCATGGCCACACAATGAAGAAGCAGATCTTGGATTTGGGCAGATTGCAACTCATACACATTTTCTTATCTTGTCTAATTCTTGCCCAGTGTTTTCACATACGTTCCTTCTAAAAGATCTCCCCACTGTGCTCTAGACTTTCCTCTGGTTCTTTTAATATCTTGGCAGTACACTCGGGCTCCCTTGTTGCTTCTCATTCTTGCTGGCAGGCCTAGCCCACCTCTTTCTCTGTTCATCTACCATCTGGTTAATGTTCTTTATGGATCACTTTGGTAATATGCTGCTGCCAATTTACCTTTCCCCCTTTCCCACATGATGCATATATTTTTCTGTAGCTTTTTGGATTACCTCTCACTTGGATTCTTCTACAGTCAGGGTGCTGTTCTATTTGAAAAGTGTTACATAAAAAGATAGATCAACTCCTCCTTCTCTGCTGTCACATTGTGGTGAGGAGGGGACCTTGGGTTCTTGAAGGCTGTATCATCCATAAACACTAGCAAGCTGGAAAGGCTTCAGGTATGCTCCCAGCAATAGACTTCTTCTGGCTTTCTGAGGACCATCCCAGAGGCTCATCATCCCCAAGCTGGCCACAGAATGATAAAGTTTCTGTCAACAGCAACTCTCCACGACCATCTACTAATTCCTAGAGAGGTTGAGATCTGCATCAGTGGAGGGACTATCCCTACTCATGAAATCACAGATTCTTGAAGTATATGCAAGTTCTGAAGTCTAGAAGAGATTGTTATTATATTAGAGAGGTGTTATCTAGATTATAAAGGAAAGCTGGGATATACAGAGTTTTTGTCTAGAAGAGATATTATGTATGGGAGTCAGGGTGATGTAGTGGATAGAGAACTGGGACTTGGAGTCAAGGATACCTTGGTTCAAATCCTACCTTAGGTGGTTACTAGCTGTGTGATGCTGGCACAAGACCTCCCAGCTATAAGTTTCCCAATCATTGTGAGGATCAAATGAAATAATACATTGAAAGTGCTTTGCAGATGCTGAAATGCTATATAAATGTTAACTACTATTATTTATTATATTAGAGGATAGTGTTACATAAGAGAGATGTAGTAAGGGTGTATCATTGTAGGAAAGATGTACTAGAAGGGGATAGTGGTCTAAAAAGAGGGAGATGGATGATTGCATTTTGATAAGGGAGTGTGTGAAGGGACACCTGTGTGTGGGATACTTCCAAGGCAGTGGCCTTATAAGATGATTTTGTTTCCTGAGGGATGCTGTGTAAGAAAAGGGAGATGGGTGCAAAGGGGAATGGGCACAGGCAGCTCTATCACTTATAGGGGAGGAAGGCCAGAGGGAGAGCCCTGATATCTCCGTCCGCTTCCTGCTGCTAGGTGGATGTCCAAGTGCAAGTTGTCGTGCCCCAGCCTGGCCAGTACACACTTGTGGTGGAGTACGCCAATGAGGACAACCTTCAGGTTGTGAGCGTGGCTGTACACACGCCCCAGTGGACCCCACAGCAAGGACTGCTCACCCTCTACCCCTGCCAGTACAGGTACTTATTCCCCAGCCCTACCTTGCTCTGTCCCTAGCTAGCAACCAGCCTGTTTTCTGGCAGAAAATGATGAGGCACTGGCTTTGGTGGCGTGGCTGTGGGGCTCAGTCTCCTCTAAGCTCGCTGACAGTAAACAGACAAGCTAATGGCCCGGTTTGACTGAGGGTTAGAAGACAGAAGCCTAGGCCTCTGAGGAGCTAGGCCTATCTTCCATGTAGGGTGCCTGGGGACCTGAGAGAGATCAGGGCTTGTTCAGGAAACATGCCAAGTTGGGGAAGGAAAGTTGGGATGGATTAGGTATGGTGTTAAAAATCAGGATTGATCTTTCTGTCCCTCTCTGCCCATTCACTTGCTTCTTCCTAACTCTTGCAGCTTCCTGTGCCGAGGTACTGTCTTAGATTCCCAGAATCGCCTTGCCACTTTTGAACTCACTGGTGAGGCTAGCATTCGGCTCACAGCAGAACATGCACGGTTCTTACTGGTAAGGATGCTGACCCAAGACTTCCCCAGATACTTTGGGAGTCATTGGGCCTTATACACAGGAGACACTCAATAAATGGTTGCATGGATGAAAATAAAGACATGGCACCCCAAATCAGACCCCAAAATTAAACATTCTTAGAAACCTAGTAAACAGAGAGAAGAGAATTTAATTCTTCACAAGATAGCATTTACTGGGCACTTGCCGTGGCTCCAGCCCTGTCCTAGTTATGGATAGGAAGACAGTAGGGTGAGATAGGATTCCTGCTCACAAGACCTACAGTGTAGTTTGAGAGATACGATTTGCGCGTCATTGAATGATTGTATGAGCGGGGCCAGATAAGTATATTGAAAGGAAGTGCTTTTGAAGTCCAAAAAGAGAAATGATCACTGTAGGCTGTTGTGATCAAGGAAGACTTTTTCATCTACACAATGAGAGGGTTGACCTAGATGATCTCTAAGGTCTGTTCCAGCTTTGGAATTTGGGGGAGAAAGTAGGACTTGAGCTGGGCTGTGAAGAAAAGGTAGGATTTGGAAAAGCAGAAAGGAAGAGGGCAGGGCAGACAGGCACTAACTATAGAATCCTATTACCTGCTTTCCCTGGATACACAGTCTGCTTTATTTATGTCTCCCAGTTCACAGGCCTGACCTAAATTGTTCTCTCTCTTCCCGCAGTACCGCATCTACCTGGTCCCCACGAGCAAGTTCACCACAGAGTTTGTGGAACCCAGAGTTCACTGCATCAGTAGTCATGGGACCTTTGGACTGAGCAGGTATTCAGGCCAGAGTTAAGGACTTTTCCATTACCTTGACCTCAGCTCTTTTGGGAGGGGGTGAAGGGAAGGGAGGTGGCACTTTTCCTGTGGGTACTTTCCCTTTCACAGATCAGGGGAAGGAGCATCAGGGACATAAGCCATAGCCATAGCCTAATCTCCTGGGATGGGGGAAGAGAGGAAGACTCCTGTGTGTGTCTCCTGTTGGCCCACACTCACAAGTCATATAAACCAAGCTCCTTCCCTAGTCCTACCTCTCATCACTGCCCTAACCCTTCTGGGAAGTGCTACTTTGGCCTGTTCTGATTCCCTGTATCTGTCCTTGTTCTCACTCCAGTGGTTCCTGCATCCCTTCACGCTTCCAGAAGCTATCCCAGCCCATCGTACTAACAGAGTGTAAGGTCCTGCCGGTGCCACCCGACTTCCCGTTGAGCCACACGCACACCGTCACTCCTGCTGGACCCCCGATGAGTCCTCAGCCTCGTCCACCCACAGCTATAGACCCCACCAGTGATCCCACCCTCCTGCAGGCTCCCCAGGTGAGGGTGGTACTCCAGGGGCTGCCTCACATACTGCAGTCAGGTGGTTAATAGGTACTCCCACTATCCCTAGGTGGATTTCAGAACTCATGAGAGGAGTTGGGGAAAGTAAGCTGTGGGTTTTAGGTGTGTTGCCTAGGGATTAGAGGGGGAAATCAGGAGACATTTCAAGAGAGTCAACAGGGAGGGAATATATTCTGATGGAAAGAGTTCAAGGCTATTTGGTCCAGAGTAAATTTTACTTACTACATTTTACTTCTAGCTTCATTCCCAACTCACTGTGTGTGGCCTTGGGCAAGTCACTTCCCTTCTCTTTGACTCATTTTTCCCATCTGTAACAGAGAGTTTAGAACCCTATGGCTACATTTGGGAAGTCGTGGATAGGTAGGAGAGAAGGTTGAGGGAGAGGGTGGCATTACTGACCACCTCCCTGGGGGGTTCCCTTCACAGAGCACTGTCGTGTTTAGCACTCACATCCAGACACTGGGGCGTTATGCCTTCCTGCTCCATGGCTACCAACCCAACCACCCTACTTTCCCTGTGGAGGTAGTCATCAATGGCGGCCGGATCTGGCACGGTGAGTTGGAGTTGGGGTAGGGGGTAGGGTACAAAGAAGGGATCTAGAGAAGTTGGGGACTCTTCAGTGTCAAAAAGGGCGAGATGGGCTGAGTGAGATCTACCTTCCTGAGAAGCTGCCCATGTTCATTTAAGGGGTCTCTTACCATCTGGGTTGATCTCATAATTTTTTATACAGAACAACAATAAAGTACTTAGTACGGGGCCAGTGGTATCTCATGAAGTGGCCAAACAATGTGCTTATTACATGATCTGACAAAGAGCCCTGTGTTACCCAGTGGGAGGTGAAGGAGCTGTCTGAAGACGGCAGGAGGGGTTCTCCAGGCAGGGAACCTGGAAAAAGCTAGAAATGAGGACTGGTTAGGCGCAGGCTGGTTACACTGCCCTGTGCCTGCAGAAGGATGCAGGGTGCTGCTGGTGAGCCGGCTTTGGCCTCAAGCTGAGGAGGCCCCTGCAGGGGACACTGAGCCAAAGACAGGCATGAGTTTGACACTCCTGGTTTTCCCAGGCCAGGCCAATGCCACCTTCTGCCCCCATGCTTACGGTTGCCGCAGCCTGATTGTGTGCGAGGGTCAGATCGTCCTGGATGTGACAGACAATGAACTGACTGTGACTGTCCGTGTGCCTGAGGGTCAGCAGCTCTGGCTGGTGAGTGGCCAAGGCAGAAAGTAAGGCCTGCCAACCCCCTCTGCCCTTTGACGCTGGGAGGGAGGGCCCGTCCTGTCCAATTCTTTCACTTTCCCTAGAATCTGACTGCAGAGTGCAGCCACGGTCCTAGGTTAGTAACAAGATTGTTATAGAAAGAGCAACCAGCTACATTCAGGGAGAACTGCCATGATCTGAATTCCCCATACTTGGCTTTTTCTTCAGCAGCTGGTGAAAGCTGGGGCTGTGTATATATCCTTCTGTTAGCCTTAGCCCAACTGAATTTGGAAGAGAAAAAAAAAAAAAAAAACAGAAAAAACAAACAGCTTCCAGTCTTAGTGGAAAGAGCTCTGGATTTTTTTTCTCTGGTAGACTCAGGAATCTCAGGCTCCAGCTTTCACCCGAAGAGCCCGCTAGAAGCAGAGACAGAGCATTGAATAGAAAGTGAAAAAAGAGTATTGGTTTTGGACGTAGAGGCTTGGTGGGCTCCAATCCTGGGTTTGCCACTTAATAGCTGTGGGGCCTTGGGCGAATCATTTTAACTCCAGGTCTAGGTTTCTTCATCTGTCAGATGTAGGGATTGGCCTGGATCATGGTGTCAAAGTCAAAGGATCCCAGAAGTCTTCATATTGACTTAGGAAGCCACAAATTAACATTATCCATGTTGTATTGTATTTTTGTTTATTTTGTTAAACATTTCCCAATCACATTTTCATCTGGTTGACACTTCTGGACTGGATCATCTCCCAGGTCCCTTTCCAGCTCTCAGTCCTTGTATCCTGTGAGCACTGGATTAGTAGTTAGAGGCCTGCTGTTTACTGCCTGTCTAACCTTGGAACCACAAGCAAGACCTCTTTTGCTAGAGAGGATAAGTTCTGGGATGGCCCGATTCTTTTCCTCTTCCTCCTCCTCCCATGGGTGGGTGTAAGTTGAATCTTTGCCTTTCCCACTGTAATTAGATGTGACCTTTAGAACTTCCCATCCCGTAGGACTATGTACTGGTTGTCCCTGAGGATGGCTATAGCTCCAACTACCTCCGAGAGGAGCCTCTGGACAAATCCTATGACTTCATCAGTCTCTGTGCAGCCAATGGCTTTTACATCAGGTATGACTCAGGCTGAAGTAGTGGTGGTAGAGAAAGATGTTCAGGACCTTGAGTGGGGGGTAGTAATGGAGGCTATAGTCCCAAAAAGGCTTGGAGGTAGAAATGGAATGGTCTAGACATTGGGGTTGGGGAGGGGATCTTGGGAAGTTAGGGCTGGGGTTAGGGGAACTTCAGGAGTTTGGGTAGTATGTGAGTTGGGGGTGTTTGTGGGAGGAGGAGGAGGAGGACCTAAGTAATCCCATTCAATGGCTCTAATCTACCATCTGTGCCACTCCTCCAGCCCCACCAGCTCACCTCCATTCTGCCAGGATGCTGCCATCTCTCTTTCCCTCTTCTACAACAATGGGGCCCAGCCCTGCCGCTGCCATGAAGTGGGAGCCACGGGCCCTACCTGTGAACCCTTTGGGGGCCAGTGCCCCTGCCGAGCCCACGTCATCGGCCGGGACTGCTCCCGCTGTGCCACTGGTTACTGGGGCTTCCCGAATTGCAGGCGTGAGTCCTTATTCCCCTTCCCCCACCTCAACCCAAGTCTAGTCCTGGCCAGTGTCTCTTCTTCCTGACCACAGGGAGGGAGAAACTCCACAGGACGCTGACACAGAGCTCTCTCTTTCCAGCCTGTGACTGTGGCACCCGCCTCTGTGATGAAGGCACTGGCCAGTGCATCTGCCCACCCCGTACCATCCCACCAGACTGTGTGGTGTGCCAGGCTCAAACATTTGGCTGCCACCCCCTGGTGGGCTGCGAAGATTGTAACTGTTCTCACCCTGGTGTCAAGGATCTCACAGACCCAGGCTGTGACCTGGACAGCGGGCAGTGCAAGTGAGGACAGAGGGGTTGGGGGAGGGGGTGGCATAGGTGGAATAGGGGGGTGCCTACTGGGGAAAGCCTCAGGGTTGATGACTGAGCTACTGATCCCTATTAAAGGTGCAAACCCAATATTGTCGGCCGCCGCTGTGATGCTTGTGCTCCTGGCTTCTATGGTTATCCCAGCTGCCGGCAATGCCAGTGCCATACAGCAGGCACAGTAGCTGGAGTATGTGACCCTGTCACTGGCCAGTGCCATTGTAAGGTGAGTATAGAGCCTGAGATGGAACCCTTTGTTACGGTGCTTTTTAACCCTGCAAAACACTTTAATAAACAGTTTCACTTGGTTCTAACAATAGTCCCATCAAGAAGTCAGGGCAGGGATTCTTTCTCCCATTTTACAAATGAATGAATACTGAGGCACAGAGAGCAGACAGTGATTTGTCCAAAGTCACACTGTGAGGAATAGCAAAACTGGCCCCAGAACCCAGGTCTTCCAGGCCAGGACTTTTTCCACTGCAGCACACTTCCCAAAGGGACACTTTAGGTCAAATATTATCTGTAATATTTGTACTGTGTAAATGCAAATGAATCACATAAGTGAACATCCCCATCTTGAGCCATGGAATTCCTGTTGGCCTCCTGGTTCCCAGCCCCAGTTCTTCCCTCTAGCTCTCAGGCTGGGAGAAGGGCATTTACCTTCTGGGGAGATCTGAGCCTGCTCCTCAGATTACCTAAGAAAGCTCACGCATCTTCACATCTGGATTCACATGCAGGACAATGTAGAGGGTGTACGCTGTGACCAGTGCCGCCTTGGCACCTTCTCCCTGGATGCCTCAAACCCCAAGGGCTGCACTCGCTGCTTTTGCTTTGGGGCCACTGACCGATGCCGGAGCTCCCAGCAAGTCCGTGGAGAGGTAAGAACCCCTAGGACGTGGATGTCCCTGGCCTTCCCCCCTCCCAGTACTGTGCTGCTCAGCCCCATCCTGGTGTGGTGTGGGAGCTGGGTCCACAGCCTGAGGTCCTGGCTCAAACCTGCCTTCTTCCTAAACACTTACCTCTGCACATGCAGGCTCAAGCACATGTACATGCACATTGTATATGTATATACATAAACATATGTACATACATATATATATACACAGATATACATGTGTGCCCACATATTTACATGAAGGTTCATGTGTTCACTTAACAAGAAGAAATACATTTGTATGCATGCTGTCCTACAGTTCATAGACATGCAAGGATGGGTGCTGTTGAGTGGGGAGCGCCAGGAGGTGCCAACCTCACTTCGTGTGGATGCTGGGCTAGTGCATGCTGATCTACGGAATGTCCCAGAAGCATTTCAAGACCTTTACTGGCAGGCACCTGCCTCCTACCTAGGGGACCGCGTGAGTCGGGGATGGGAGGTCGCCCCAGGGTTATCTGTTGTAATTGGAGGCTGAGGGCATCTCAGTTAGGGAGGCATAAGCATGCTCAGGGCCCCTTGGGGTTGGAGTGTGAATCATGAAAGTGCCCTCTTTTTGAAGTGGGGTGTGGTAGAGTAACAAGATCCCAGGCAGAGACCAGTGGGAGAAGAGGAAGGTCTGGGCTCACTGTGTTGCAGGTGTCATCTTATGGCGGGAGCCTGCGCTATGAGCTGCACTCAGAGACCCAGCGTGGGGATGTGTTCGTCCCTACCGAGAGCCGGCCAGATGTGATTCTGAAGGTGATGATGGAGTGCAGGGATGGATATGATGGGAATATAAGGGAACGATGGACCAGAGGCCCAGAGGAATTTGAAGAGGATAGGAACTCAGTGATGGGAGGGCGGGTAGGGGAATGCAATCTCAGGTCATTAGCTTAGAGGGCCTGTGATGGGCAGAGAGACACAAGAACTCAAAGATAGGGAGCGTGGGGGGGGGGCATAAGACCCCAGACCGAGGGGACAGTGGGAGACCAAGTAACAGGAAAGAGGAAGAGCTATGGACCATAAAGATGGCTGGTCATGGCTTCTCCCAAAGGCAAGGGCTCAATCTAGGAGTCTCTGGGGCAGTGGAGTTATACACCTTCTCCTTTGTTCTCTACAGGGAAACCAGATGAGTATCACTTTCCTGGAGAGTTCCTACCCGGCTCCTGGGGACATTCATCAAGGGAAGGTGGATCTGGTGGAGGTCAGCGGTGATGGAAGATATATGAGGACTCTCTGAAGTTCCCATAGCCCCTTCCCTCTCACAAGTTGACAGTACCCTCAGTGATGGTCTTTCCTCTATGCCCAGAGCTTTCTAGGGAGGGTGCAATGGAAATGGGAAACCCCGAAGTACTTCTCTCCATTTCACAGGACAGAAAACTGAGGCACAGAAAGAGAAGGGGGGACTCTCTGAAAGTCACATCACAAGTCAGGGTCAAGTCTGGGAACACAGCTACTTGTTGAACTGAAATGTAAACTAGGAAGCAGATGCTCAAGAAAGACGAGCTTTGAGGACGCTTCCATTTTCTAGGTAACCCTGAGCATCTCTTTCCTTCCCCATAGGGCAATTTCCGCCACACAGCGACTCACAACCCTGTCTCCCGGGAGGAGCTGATGATGGTGCTGGCTGGTTTGGAGCAGCTGCAGATCCGTGCCCTCTTCTCCCAGATCTCCTCAGCTGTCTCCCTTCAGAGGGTGGTTCTAGAGGTGGTGACAGATGCCACTGGGGGAGCCCTGGCCAGCAATGTTGAGGTCTGCATGTGTCCTGCCAACTACCGTGGGAACTCATGCCAGGTAAGAAAATGGGGTGTTTCTCAGGGCCCTCTCAGATTTTGTGGGGGGTGGGGTCAGGGTGGGGGGCTTCACGTTGTCCAGAGCAATATCCTGTTCCTTGCAGCCAGTGAGACTAACTGACTAACCTGGTCTATGGGCTCCCTGTGGGCATTCCCCATTATGTAACTGAGCACAGAAAGGAGCATACAGTAAGACAGGTGCGCTGGCATGGGAAGATAATGGATAGACAAAGAAAAAAGCATCAGGGCAAGATTTACCTTATCCTGGGGGAGTCTTGTTTATCAGGGGTGGGGAGGAAGCCTAGACATGGATGGTCTAGAGTTGGAATCCTCACATTGCCCTGTGCTACCTGTATGATTGGACAAATCGTTTCTCTTTCTAGGCCTTAATTTCCACTTCTACAAAAATGAGTGGGGTAGACTCCAACAAACCCCAGGTCCTTTCTAACTTGAAGATTTTATGTTCCAATGACATGACTACACACAGCGTACTAGCCAGATGATCAAAATCATCCATGGCCTTGGGATGGATACCTGATCTTCCCTGATGACCCTCCCTCCATTGCTATATCTCCCAGATGTTCCCTCCCTCCATCCTCACAAATTTTGTTATCTGCTTTCTGTTTTTCTCTTCTCCCCTTCCTCACCTCCTAGGAATGTGCTCCTGGCTATTACCGAGACACCAAGGGCCACTTCCTGGGCAAATGCATTCCATGCCACTGCAATGGGCACTCCGACCGATGCCTCCCAGGCTCAGGCATCTGCGTGGTGAGTCCCAATGCTGGCCAGGCACACCACTGTATGTATTTTTATGTTGGGGTGGGGTCTTAGTAATGCTAAGAGTTTCATGAACCTCAGCCAATGGCTTTTAGGGACAGAAAATGGCAAGAGGGGAATAGGGGGAGAGGGGTTGAGCCAAGGTTAGAGGGATGAGATTTGTCCAGAGTGGTGAAGGGGACTTGACCTTGTCTACAGAGCTAGGAGGGGCTAACATAAGGAATTGCTCTCCATATCCATAGAGAACTCAGTAAAAAGCAAAAAGCTTAAATAAAATCAAGGGATACCATAATTAATCAATTCAGCAATGAGTATTTATTAAACGCCTACTAGGTGCCAGGCACTGTGTGAGACTGGGGATACAAAAACAAAAAAACAATGATGATCAAACATGTCTGACCAAAGATAAAGAGTTCTTTCTCCTCTCTGAGCCTATGATTCCTCATTTATTAAATCAGGTGGCTGGGCACCTCATTTTAGGCAGGACGTTGACAAGGTACAACACATCCAGAAGAGGATGACCGTGTGTAAGAGGAGGCCCTGTCATGCCAGGATAGGTTGGAGGAATGAAGCACATGTAGTCTGGCCTCAGAAAGACTTTTCCAGTGAAAGGGTGGCCTGTATCCCTGTATTTGAGTGTCTTTGGAATAGGGATTCATCAGACCCGTCTGTCCTCCTTGACTACAGGAAGCAGAGCTGGGAGCAGTGGGTTGTTCAGGAGCTGCAGAGAAGCAATTTAGTTTGATACATCCAGAACTGTTAAAAAGGATGATGGGTTCCCTGTCCCTGGAGGTCTTTATGCAGAGGGCAGATGACCACTTATCAAGGATGTTATAAGGGATTCATGTACAGGTTAAGCTATATGACCCCTGAGGACCCTTTCAACTCTGAGGTCCCATGAATAGTGTCCACCCTGACCCAGATCACTGCCCTTGGTTCTTGAACCTGTCCCAGGGGCAGATTCCTATGCTGCCCTCAGAAATCTCATTCTCCCTGGCAGTTCTCAGAACTCAGGGGTGAAGTCAAAGCAGGCATACTTAGGAATAGAATCTGATCTCCTCGTTAACCAAGGACAGGTTGTGGGGACCAAAGAAGACAGCATCTACTCATCTACCCTAGACCATAGACAGATATAGGGCAGGATTCTGGGTAGCCTCTCGCCATGAATAAGAACTTCTAGGCTAACCAGAGAAAGAAAGAGTCAGCCCTTTGGAAGTGATCAAGGGAGGGATGACCACTAGAAAAGCATGTCTGTCATGGGGGCCAGGCCCAATGACCTCCCAGTATCCAATGCTATGGCGTATGTTTACTCTCCTGTTCCAGGGCTGCCAACACAACACTGAAGGTGACCACTGCGAACGATGCAAGGGTGGCTTTGTGAGCAATGCAACCCAAGATCAATCCTCTTCCCTCTGCATCAGCTGCCCCTGCCCTCTCTCTGTGCCCTCCAACAAGTAAGTACTGCTAAGTGGTTCCCCATCCTCTGCCTGAAGCCCTCTAGGAATGGAGGGGCTGCTACCTCCAGAGGTAGGCAGCCCATCATCCTTTTCAACAGCTCTAGATGTTGTAAAACTTGTATATCAAGCTAAAATATGCCTCTGCAGTTTCTGCCCCACCCATTGTTCCTAACTCTGCTTTCCATAACCAAGCACGGCCAGTCAAATTATTCCCCGTTCCCCAGATACTCAACTACAGCTAATATGGCCACCTTTATCTGTCCAAGTCTTCATTACTCTGGGCTAAACATCTCAGTTCCATCAGGCCCTTTTCCAAGCCATTTCCACTCTACTTATAATTCTTCTGTTTGACTTACATTCCTTTTTATTTAACCTCTAATCACTCCTCTGAGGAAGAAGCCTTCCCCAGCTAGTTCCAGTGAAAGAACCTGTTACTGGGCCTTGGAGCCCTGATCATCTGAGTTATCTTCCCAGGGTTGACACCTCTTCTTTGGAACAGATTCAGGGGACCTTAGCCACAGAGCTTTTTTGTTTCATTATTTGCTAAGCCTGAATCCCCTCAGGAGAACCATGTCTGCTCATGAGCCTACTTGGCCATCTGGGTTCAGAGACTGGCAACATCTGAACTCTAATTATGTTTCTTACTCTGCTGCTGCTGCCATAATGGATGTCCAGTTCTGGAATCCATGATCTCTTGCCATTTTTAGGATACAAGAATATTTTTTCTAGGGTTTATTCAACAAGAAAAAAGAAAGTATAAATTCTAAAATATTATACAAAAGAAGATCACTAAATAGTCATATGAAAAGCTACCATGGGCCCAAACTTGATGCTACTTTAGCTTTTTGACCTAATATTTAACTAAACTTCTTCAGACCTGGATTGGCCACCAGGATTGTCTTTTTCTTGAGAGCACACACCATAACACTTGTAGCATCCAAAACAGAATGGCATCTTCTATATCAGAACTCACCCTATTTTGATTTGTGGTTGGTCCATGTGAGTATTCTGGGCCTAGTTCATTTGTCCATTCTGAAATCTCAAGACTTGTTCACAGCTAGTCAGGAAGGGTAGCATTAGATTTCTCCCTTCTCCACCCATAGCAGAGAGTAGATAATAAGAACCAGGAGGTATAACACCAGTTTTCCCCACTGCTTCAAAAGTAGAATACATCACTTCTGAAAGCCCAGAGACAAGCCTGTCCATCACAAGAGTTACCTATCCTTCAGCTGCCCACACAGATGTCCTCTTATAATTAAGAATATTGGTTCTGTGGGTCAGTCCATTTTAGTCTATGAATTCCTTGGTGGAGAGGAGATTGGGAACCACGTTACAGAAAGATCAACTAGAAGAACTGGGGATTATTTAGCTGGGACTAGAGAAGACTCTGGGGGGGTTGGGGTAGGGAGTATCTGTAACACTTGGCCCAGCTCCACCCTATTTAAGTCTGTGTGCTCCAGGCTAGGGAGAAGGGCCATTTGACAGTTGCTGACTTCGATGGGTTCCAAGAAGATCCATCCACATCTTTCTCTCCACTTTCAGCTTTGCAGTTGGTTGTGTCCATAAGGGTGGGGCCACCCAGTGTCTCTGCCAGCCCGGGTACGCTGGAGCTTCTTGTGAGCGGTAAGTAATAATAACAACAGAACTAGTCTTTAAGACTTGCAAAGCTCTTTCTTTGTATTGTTTTGTTTGATCCTCACAGTAGTCCATTGATCTAAATGTTACAGGCAAGAGAGGGAAAGGGAAGTATAGTGGAAAGTCTCCTGGCACCATCTTTGTCTCTTCCTTCTCCTTCATCTCACATTCTCATTCTCTCTCTCTCTCTTTCTCTCTCTCTCTCACATATATGTGTATATGTGTGTGTATGTATATATGTGTATATACACACACCATATCCAGACTGCCATCAATGTATTTTGATTCCACTTCTCTAACATCTTTTGCATCCTTCTTTTCCTATGAATTTCCTGTGCCAGTACCCTAGTATAAGCTGTCATTGCACGTGTCTAAACTATTCCAACAGACTCCTAAAAAGTCTTCCCATTCTACCTGTCCCCCTCCAATTTGTCTGTATTGCTAGCAGCCATCTTTTTTATGTATACATCTGCTCAGTTTACCCCTGCTCAAAAATCTGCAGTGATTCCCTATCACTTACCAAATAAAGTTCAACTTTCTTTGCCTGGTATTCAAGGTCTTCTGCGGTTGGGCACTTCCTTATATTTTCAGTTTTATCCCATGTAATTTTTCTCCATGCATTTTATGCTTAAGATAATAACTATTTTCTGTCCCCGAATGATTCCTGCACTTTTCCACCTCCCAGCCTTTGTTCATTCTATTCCTTATACCTGGAATGCTCTTTCCCCTCTTTATCTAATGAATCCATAACCTATCCATTAGAGACTAAATCAAATGTCTCTTCTTCCAAGAAGTCTTTCATGACTCTTTTTGTCATTAACTATCCTCTCCCTCAGGCATCATGTACTTTGACTTGCACTTATCATGTAATAGTATGTATTATAGTTATCTGTATCTGTGTCTTACCAGACTGGAAACTGTGTGAGGGCAGGGCTCATCATATGTTACATATTGATCCTTAAGACGCCCTTCCACTCTGACAAGCCTGCTACTGAACACTTCGAGGAAGGGGGGAGGCACGATGCATATCAGGAGGACATGGAGAGCAGTGTACTGGTTCCTTGTCCTTCCTCCCTGGCCAAAGGTATGCTGACCCACCTAGATGATTCTTTTCACTCTCTCATCTGCCTCTCCTTAGGTGTGCTCCTGGATACTATGGCAACCCCCTGGTGATTGGCAGCTCCTGCCAGCCTTGTGACTGCAGTGGGAATGGTGACCCTAACATGCTGTTCAGTCACTGTGATCCACTGACTGGGGCATGCTTGGGCTGCATGTACCATACAGCGGGTCCCCACTGCGAGAACTGTGCTCCTGGTTACTATGGCAACGCTTTGCTCCCCAGGAACTGTACAAGTATGGTTGGGGCTGCCCCGTGCATGGGAAGGAGGGTGAAGGGTCCAGGATATCCCTGTGCAGAGCAGCTAGGTTCCACACAGAATATGCACTATGGCCTGGAATGAGCTGATCAGCTTGCAGTTTGTAGTTTGGACGGAAAGAATGGAAGGGGAAAATAAAAATGAGAGCCTAGGACTTACTGTTACTATCTTGCCCTTGCCCTCTCAGAGTGTGACTGCTCACCCTGTGGGACCGAGGCTTGTGATGCTCGCACTGGGCGGTGTCTGTGCAAATCTGGGGTGACTGGTCAGCGTTGTGATCATTGTCAGGTATCACCAATGGCTTGGCCCATCCCTCAAGGGCTCCCAGGACTTGGAAGGGTGTAGGGGGAAATGGAGCCTGTTGGGCAAGGGTGTCCTGAGTATCTGACTTCACGGAGTTCACCATCTTGTCTCCAAATGGGCCCCCTTCACAAAAATGGGGAGCTTCATCATCCTACCTTATTTACCACCTCTCTCTTTCTCTCTCTCCCTCCCTCCAGGATGGGCACTATGGCTTTGACAGTTGTGGAGGCTGCCGGCCCTGTAACTGTGGTCTGGCTGCAATTGGGTCCAGCTGCCACTCCCAGAGTGGGCAGTGCCATTGCCAGACAGGGGTCAGTGGAGTGCAGTGCCAGCAGTGTGCCCCTGGCTACTGGGGGTTCAGTGAACATGGCTGTACCCGTGAGTCTCCAAGTCATGTAGGGTCCCTGGGGAAGTAGATCCTAGGGAAGGAAAGGATGTATGGAAGGGAATAAGGGAGAAGAATTCTAGGGGGAGGGGCAGCAACACTTTGGAAGGGCAAAACTGGGCAATACGGTGGAATCTGAGGATCGGGGTAGGACATTTGTTTGAGAAGTGATCTTAACTCATCACAAATCATGGATGTGGGGGGGTCAGCATCTCAGTGGGTCCTTCTTCCTAACAGGCTGTCAGTGTCGAGAAGGTCACTGTGATCCCCGCACAGGCGAGTGCACCTGCCCCCCTGGCCTAAGCGGCAAACAGTGTGATTCCTGCAGCCAGCAGCATCAAGTACCTGTGACCCATGGCCCTGGTGGCGTCCACTGTGAAGGTGGGCCCCAATCCTAACCCCTCTTTCTTCATCCATCTTATTTCTCTCTCATTCTTCCTTCTACATTTGCTGTCCCTCTCCCCATCCAGAGCTATCCACGTCACACTATAGCCTCACCTCTCATTGTCTCCTCCTCTGATCACCTCCTCACACCCAGACCAGTTTGGAGACAGGCTGACTTGGGTTACCAGCTGTGCCATGAGTTTTGGCCTCAGATTGGCTAGCATACCTTCGTGTCTCCCTATGGAGGTTGTGACAGGGCGATCACAAGGGAAGTTTGGGACCCTGCCCCTGACAACCCAGATGCCCTAGGGGCTGTGGTCCCCCAGCTCCTGATCCCCACATTGATCACTGCTCTTGCCTCACCCCAAAGTGTGTGACAGTTGTGTGGTACTACTACTGGATGACCTGGAGCAGATAGAGTCACTCTTCCCCACCATCCGCCAGCAGCTCAGCAGCCTCAATGCCAGCTCCGTGGCCTGGGCCCGATTGCACGGAATCAACAGCTCCATTGCTGCCCTGGCGGTAGGTCAACCTGACCCAGGCTATCCTCTCTGCCCCCTCTACAAGGTCTCCAGTGCCTTTAACTTTGTCTCCTTTCCCTCCCCAGAATCAGCTTCGAGGCCCACTGGGGTCTCGGGAGCCGACAAGACAGAGACTAGATGAGCTGGAACGTCAGAGTGGAGTTCTGGAGGAAGAGGCCAACATGCTTCACAGCAAGGAAGGGTCCCCACCCCCAAACATATCCTCCCCCCCCAACCTTCCTCATCCTTTGGCATTGTGAGGTTCTCTGGTTTTGTTCTGTTTTTAGCTCAGATGAGTTGTTCAGTCTTCCTGTGTTGTCACAGATAGTTCCTAGGTGCTTTTAGGGTTCCCCCAGTTCCTTTTCTCTGACTTGGCCACTCAGCCTCTTCTCCCTGACTTTTTAGAGCTTTAGGTTGACTGTGGTCTTGATATCTTATAGGTGGCTGATGCTCGAGCCCAGGCAGGTCAGCTACAGGAGAGCTCCGGGGACAACCTGCAGCGGGCAGAGACCCTGCTACGGAGCATCGAGAATGTGGAACGTGCTCTAGGAGGTATGCCTGGAATGAGGGAAAGAGGGACTTGTGGCCCAGCCAGCCAGTATCTTCCCAGTGCCCCAACAAGCAAGCAACAGAAAGAAGGCAGGATTGTTTGAAAGCAGATGAGGTGAGGTGAGGTACTGGAGAGGAGATGGTGGAAGAAGGTTCTCAGGGTTTTCCTTTCACTGAAGGTCAGCTGTCATTGGGATTACCACCTTTTGAGAGATATTCTAGAGAGAACTCACGTTCCGGTGTGGGCTGGACTAGATAACCCTGACAGAACATTCTCCGATGGTAAAGTTTGTAGAGGGCAAGGCCTCATGGGGATGCCGGTGACCAGGGTCACTCACTCCTCTACCCCACTTTGCTTTTTCCCTAGAGCTGATATCTCAGATGAACAGACTCTCCCCGTCTAATATCAGCGCAGCCTCTGGTGAAGAGTTTCTTCAGACACTGGGGGAGGTGGAGCAGATGCTACGGGAGATGCGGGGCAGGGACTTTGGGCGGCCACGAGCAGTGGCTGAAGGGGAGCTGGAAGAGGCACAGAGATGTAAGTGGAGGCCTACCCCTGATTGACCTCTCAAGGCCTCAGGAATAAATAGACAAGAAACCCTAAGCAAAGAAGTCTATTCTAGTCCTGCATTGAGTGCTGGGGTGGGCAAGAAAAGGAAGGTCATAGTCTCTGCCCTTGGGGAACTCATGGTCTGAGAAAACAAGACTCAGATACGTGAATTTCATGACAGGATAAGAATGTAGAGGATGATGCTGGGAATCTCTTAAAATATGGTTGATTTTATTGCTTAAAGTTTTATCAATACTCCCTTTTTTCATACCAGTCATTTAACAACAACAATAATAATAACAAAAATCATAATATCTAGAATTTACATAGCACTTTAAGGCTAGTAAAGCACTTTATAAATATTCTCATTTGATTCTCACAACAACCCTGAGAGGTAAGTATTATTATTATCCCCATTTTACAGATGAGAAAATTGAGACAGGCAGAGGTTAAGTGACTTGCCCAGGGTCACATGGCTAGTAAGTGTCTGAGGCTGGATTTGAACTCAGATCTTCCTGATTCTACATCCAGCACTATCCACTGTGTCACCTAACAGTCTCAGTATATTTTCAGTATATACTGTTCCCCCTATTCACCCATCATTCAAAGCAAAGAAAAACAGTAGAGCAAGACTGATTGACATGTATGTCAACATATGTAGCCATCCATACCTGTAGACCTTCTTTTACTGACAGGGGAGATGCGTGTTGCACCAACCATCCTCTGGGACCAAGACTAGTTACTGCAGTTACTTGTTATTGCATTAAGCTGAATTCAGCTGCTCTCGAGTGTTATTTTTCATTTGCATTAGGGTAATCATCGTGGATGGTGTTCCTTTGGTTCTATTTTCTTTACCCAGGATCAGTTTATATAAGTTTTTCCATGTTTCTCTGAATTTTTCCTATTCATTTTTTCCTTACAGTGCATTATATTCCATTGCAGCCATATACTGTAATTTCCTCAAGCATTCCCTGGGCATGAGGATCCTAGTCAAAATATCTGGGTTCAAATCCTGAACTTTAGTGTCTTTAATTATAAAATGAAGAAATTAGACTAGATCAATGATATGTGAAGTATGGTCCGGGGACACCTGGGAGTCCCTAGGACCCACTTAGGGAGTCTGCAAGACTCAGATGGACCATGAATGCAAAACTGTTCTCATAACAGTGCTAAGATGTTTTGCTTTCTAATGTGGTAAATGCTGATAGGTGCAATCTATATTTTTAAAAGCTCTTTTTGAGAGGGGGGAATCCTCAATAATTTTTAAGAGTATAAAGGGGTCCTGAAACAAAAAAGTTGGAGAACCACTAGACTAGATGATCTCTAAAAGTCCTTTCTGACTCTAAATCCTATGATCCTTCAGCCACAAATGACCACTCCTTTTCCTCTTTCTCTGTCACTGACCTCTTTGTCCTGGGTCAGTACTGAACCAAGTGCAGAGTGAACTAACCAGCCGGTGGGAAGAAAGCCAGACCTTGGCATCAAGTATCCGGGAGCGGCTGGCTCAACACAGCTCCCAACTCATGGACCTCCGGGATGCCTTGAATGAGGCTGTCAATAAGACCCGTCTCACTGAAGAGCTCAACAGTCGGAACCAAGAACATCTGGAAGAGAGGCTGGTGAGAGCACTGTGCTGCCCAGGACTCTGGGGCCTTTACTGCCTTCTCCTTCCTCCCCACCCCAACTTCCCTGCCCAGGAGAGCTCGGCTTTGGGACCAGTGCTCATGAGCTCAGCCTCGTCCTGCTCCCCCACCATCCCAGGATGAGATGTCCACTTCTCTCTCATACTAACTTGACAGCTCTGTGCTCCCAGGGGAATTGTGGGCTTCAGGAAGGGGAAGGGGAAGGGCTGGGAGCTCTTGATGAATTCAGTGACATTGACTCCTTCCGGCTTCAGCAAAAGAAGCAGGAGTTGGAGAGGGAGAACTCGACGCTGAGGGACACCCTGCGCATGGCCGAGGACACCTTAGCTCAAGTCTCCGAACTTTTGCAGACCATGGACAGGGCCAAGGAGGTGAGAGAGGGTGGGGTGGAGGATGGTGTACATCCAGATGGTGAATCATCTCCTGGTTAGGGTTAAAAAATGTCTGTTGAATTGAATTGGGCTGGATGAGACCCGGGAGATGGAGGAGGAGGAAACTGAGGGCCAGGGAAGGAAAGTGACTTGGCAATTAGTGGCAAATCCAGGACTAGAATTCAAGTTTCCTGACTCTCAGTCCAAAGTACTTTCCATTACATCACATCTGCATTGCTCTTCTGCCTACGTGTGTTCATTGAAATAGATTTGCATGGTATGCTTTGAGGATAAGCTGCAAGTGGGACTTGGGACTAGCACAGATTTTTTTTGGTCCGGAATGGACTTGTGGTTTTATTAGTGTAGTGAACTCATGGTGAGATACTCCTTCTACCAAAGCTGCTCAGCATCTGCTTGGCAGCTTACATCCTTAGAAAACGTTGCCTGTGTGAAGTGAAATCATTTGCTTAGGATCACACAGCTAGTGTATGTGAAAGGTGGGGCTTGAACCCCAGGCATCCTTGACTCTGAGTCCAGCTTTATCCAACATGCCCCATTGTACTAGCACAAATAATACAAAAAAATGTCTACCACCATTCCATTTCCATTTCACTTTGGAAGGAGGCCAGAGACTCAAATGGCCCTCAACCCTCTTTCAGAACCACTTATTGTGGAGTAGCGAGCTCCCCTCACAGCAAAGAGGGCATGCCTGAGATATTACAGATAATCCTGAAAATGGATAGCCTCCTGGTGGCAAATAATAAAACTGCGCTTCTGAGAATTTCTGTGCTGTTTTGCATTTATAGACATTTGCATGTTGAGTTCAATGCAAAACACAGGCAACCTTCAACAAGCCACTTTAGTGAAAGGGAGAGAGGTTGGGCAAGGCAAGGCAGATAATCCCCACAGATGAGATCTGGGAGACTAGCCTTGGGCTGGGCTATGTCTTTAAAAGGAAGCCTTGAACATGGCTTTGTCTTTCTCCAGGAGTATGAGCGTCTGGCTGCCAACTTGGATGGTGCCCGGACCCCACTGACAGAGAAGATGCAGAAATTCTCTCCTGCAAGCAGTAAGATTCCTATAGTAGAGCGAGCTGAGGAGCATGCCCGAGAGCTCAAGCAGCTTGCGTACAACCTCTCCAGGTGAGTCAGCTGATACGCCCTGGTCGAGCCCCTGAGGTAAGAGGTGCCAGGATGGTTAGGCATGTGGCCTCTGCACAACGGAGTCGATAGTCCAGCTCGGGAAAAGAGATGGACCTAGGGATAAGATGGTATAGTGGAAAGAACACTAGGCTTTCCTGGGCATTCTGATGCCAGCTCATTTGGTTTGCAGAGCCATACATTAAGGTCAATAATATAAGCCATACATTGAGGTCAGGAAAGGCAGGTGCATATAATGAGAAGTGTAATGGTGTTATCTTTGATGCTTCTCTCTCCTTCACATTTCATAGCCAAGCAGCCTCCTGTTCTCATCAACTCTCTCTCCATGGCACTGTGCTAGGCCTTGGAGATACAGAGACAAAAATGAAATAGCCCTTGCCCTCAAGGAGCTTACATTCCATCAGGAGAGACAGCATATATAAAAACAAAATTGAAGTTGAGAGGTCTGGGTTTGCATCTCAGCTCTGTGACTTAGTAGTGGTAACCTTGGGCAAGTGACTTTACTCTTGTGGGCCTGGATTAGACAATCTCAAAGGCCCCTGTCAGCTTTTCATAGTTCTATGAATGTGAACTTGGCAGTCCTAGTATTATGGAATGAGCCCTCAGTGACTTCCTGGGGGAAGTGGACATTGGGTTTGGCTTTGAAGGTAATGAGGGTTGGGGACAGTGGATCATGCAGAGGTCAGATCAGATTGGCTGGGCTGAAGTAGTTGGAGGAGTTAGAGAATCATGGTAGGGGGCAGTGTGAGTGGGGCTCTCATTGCTGAGTATGTGAGGGGAGTACTCTCCCTTCCCTCTCTACCCTGAATTCTGACCACCCCTGTGCATCCCTGCTCCCAGTATCATTCGTGACACCAACCAGGATCGGTTCATTCAGCGAGCCATCGAAGCCTCTAATGCATATGCCAGCATCCTTCAGGCTGTGGGGAAGGCTGAGGAGGCTGCTGGCCAGGCCCTACACAACGCAACCAGCACCTGGGAGGTGAGTCACCTGACAGGTCTCTCCCCCACTAGCTCCTTTGGGCCTCCTGGACCCCTCTTTCTGACTCAAGAATTAAGAGCTAGCAAGAGTAGTAGGGGACAGAGAAAGGGTGATGTGGCCTTCAGAGGTTATACTTTGTGTCTTGACTCCTATCTGGTCTTCTATGCCCCCGTCCCCAATGATCCAGGGCTCTGTTGGTAGGAACAAGTCTTTTCTTACCTTCTTTGTACTTAGATGGTGATTCATGGAGGGCTTAGTGCCCGAGCCCGGGAGCTCCGGGAGAACAGCAGCATCCTGGAAGAAGCTGTCCGCAGCCAACAGAGAAAATTGAGTGGAGGTGAGAGCTCAGGGCCGGAGACTGCTCGGGTTAGGACTTGGATGGGCCAGAGGCCAGCTGGGCTGTTTCACAGCTTCAGGTGGGAAGGAACAGGCAGGGAAAGAGACCTCTGTCTGAACGTGGCTGGCTTTGGGCAGCTGTGCTCCTGTCACATTTGTCTGTCTTTTGTGTGCCTTCACCCTCTTTCTAGAACTTGGGGGATGAAGGTGGGGGCACATGCCTTATGGGCTATTATCTACTGGGATAATCTTTTAGGGCAAAAATGGAACTGCATTTGTTCAAACCCAGATAAAAAGAAGTTAGATTTTAGAGGTGCTTCACAGTGTATTTGGGTGTGTGTTCCAATGTATGTCATTGCATATAATCACCTGTGTCTGCATTTGTCTATCCAGGTTTTGAGGAAATCCCTGTATCATGTTAAGCATGTGTCTCTATCTTTCTGTGTCTATATATCATCATCACTGGCAATAGAGTAACTAATATTATATAGCACTTTTAAATTTGTAGAACACTTTATATGTCATTTATCTCCTTTGAGCCTCGTGACACCCCAGTTAGGTAGATACTACTTACTACAGGATAGATATTATCTCCATTTCATGGATGAGGAAACTGAGGCTGAAAGAGAGTAAATGATTTGCCTAGAGTTACACAGCTAGCTAAATATCAGAGGCAGGATTTGACCCTAGATCTCTCCTAATTTCCAGTCCCACACTCTTTCCACTACATATGCTTTAAACAAGCTTATGTTTGTATCTGAGTATTTATTCTCATGTGTATGTTTTTGCCTACACATGGGTTCTTATGTTGCTGTATGGATATCTGTTATCAGTGTGTGTCTTCATCTGTGTCAATGTATATATTTATAGGTTTCTGTATATGTAGACTGCAAGTTCTTTAGGGGCAGGGACTGTGTAATTCTTTGCATCCTGGGACAGTACCCAGCACACAGTAAATTCTCAAAAAATTTGTGTTGAATGAAATTGATTGACTTATGTGCATATTTGTGTGTGTGTGTGTGTGTGTGTGTGTGTGTGTGTATGAGCATGTGCATGCCTCTTTGTCTATGTGTTTTGCAAGGTAGTTTTGCCTCCCTGAGGTGGAGGATGCAGCCTGCAGTGGGGGTTTTGTACTGACAATGATCCCTTGGGCCTTTTTCTCCAGTCATTAGGGAAACCTTGCAAGCCTCTCGGACTCAACTGGAAGAAGCCAAAGCTAAGAAGGATCGGCTAGTGGCCCAGCTGAAGGGTGTGCAGAGCATGCTAGCCATGGACAGAGGTGTGTCTGGTCTAGGCTCCAAAGTATCCCCCATCATTCTCTAGGACCCCATATTCTCCCCACCCTTTGGGGTCCACGTACTCAGTCACACATATTAAGGGGTTAGAGAAGAGAACAGTGACTAATACCCCCCATTCGTTAGTCTTGTATTTCTGTTACACTAAAGAAACAACACAGATTTGCTAAGGAATGAGGGAGATGTGCCCAGGGGATGGGGATCAGAGAAATCACAAAATCATAAGAACATAAATTTAATGCTAGGGATCTTAGAAGAAATCAAGTGCAACCTCTTTATTTTACAAATGAGGAAACTGAGGCAAAACAAGGTTAAGTGACTTGCCTAGGGTCATATAATTAGTGTCAGAGGAAAGATTTAAACTAAGGTATTCCTGACTCCAGTGTTCTAGCCACCATGCCACCTTGCCGTCTAAGTAATGAGTAGGTGACTTACACAATGAAACTACTTGAGAACCAGGATTCTGGGGTAACCAGGCAAATAAAGCCAAATCACCTACCAGTCCATTACCACCAGGTTGTACTTGATTACTTCTAATCTTTAGTATCATAGAAGACACTCTAGGTGTATGGGAAATTGGTTCATGTGGTCTGTGATTTGCTGTCTCCACCCCTAGAAAGCTTGGTGAGCTCTGCAGCTCTGGTCTACATCCCTTTACTCCCTCCACCCAGGAACTTCCATGGTATCATAATCACCTCATCCACAATTTGAGATGAATGGTCTTTATCCCATCAGAAGAGACTGTGGGTGCCCCCTTAGCATTAGCCAAGGCTCTGTTTCAGGGTGGTTTGGGAAAGGTTGGTCCTTGAGGTGTTCGAGCTAGTATTTCCCTGTCCTAGATGACACAAGTGAGAAGATCGCCCGTGCCAAGGCAGTGGCCGCAGAAGCCAATGACACAGCCACACAGGTGGGCGCCACATTGAGGGACATGGAGAGGAATCTGCGTCGGTGGCAGGGACAGTATGGGGACCTGAAGAACCAAGACCTGGCCCAGGCCATGGAAGATGCTGGGAAATCAGGTCCGGAGGCTGGGTAGGGAGTGGGGTAGGGGCACTGGGAGCAGAGAGAACTGTTTTTTAATGCTGGTTTTACCCTTAACTCATTATGACTTTTAAGTCATTAATGACTTTTAACATGGACCTCAATTTGTTCATGTTTAAAATGGAATCAATTAGCAAGCATTTATTAAAGGCCTGTGACATGCCAAGCAATATGCTAGGTGCTGCGAGGTTATATTCAATTGCAGAGACAACATGTACACAAAATAAATAAAAATTAATTTGGAGGGGAGGCTCTACCAGCTGGGGGTAGATCAGGAAAAGCCTTGTAACAGGTAGGGCTTGGGCTGAACTTTGAAGAAAACTAGGAATTCAAAAAGTAGAGGTGAAGAAAGAATATATTGGTATGGGTAACAGCCCATTGAGACGGGAGAATTAATTTTGCAAATGAGCAATAGCAATAACTTGGACAATTTGACTAGATCTTAGAGTACACGAAGGTGAGTGATGTTTGGAAGAGCAATAATTAGGGTGGGTTTAGGGGAAAAGATAGTCATTTCTGTTTTGGACATGTTGGATTTGAGATGCCTACAGGACATCCTGTTTGATGATAATATCATTTCGCTTGCTTATTCCACAGTGGGTAATTTCATCTTCCTATAGGCAGGAGGATCCTGCCCTTTATACAGATGGAGAAAGTGAGGCCATTGTAGTTTCCTGTACCTAGAGCTAGAAGAGCTGGTGGGTGAGGGGCAGCTCCTCCTTCTTGTTCCCATTGGCCACAGCTCTCTGAGGTGTGGATGTTTCATCCATGGGTTCTCATCTCCCCTGCAGTATCCAGTCTAGAGAAGACCTTGCCTCAATTGCTGGCCAAGCTAAGCCACCTAGAGAACAAGAGAGGCCAGAATGCCAGTCTAGCCCTCTCCAACAGCATCTTACGTGTACGGGAGCTCATCACCCAGGCCCGTAGTGCTGCGAGCAAGGTACCTGCTCAGGGAGCAATGGGGGCACAGGGCCGGGGAGAAGGCAAGGGAGCAGGTACTTTGCTGGTACAAGAAGAACCAGGGAGAGGGCCAAGGGAGAAGGGTAAGGGTGGGAGGGGGCAGGGGATGTGTGTTGAAGGAGGCAACGTAGTCAACATGGTGGAGAGAGCCCTGGACTTGAAGTCAGGAAGAGCTGAGTTTGTATCCTGCCTTACATATTTACTAGCAGGAAAAAAAAAATTAAATAAAAAAGCATATTTACTAGCTAAGTGCCCCTGAGCAATTCAATTAATATATTTCAGCCCAAGTTTCCTCATCTATAAAATGAAGATAATAATAAACCTATCTCACTAAGCTAGTGTGAGGATCAGAGAAGATAATATATGTAAAGTGCTTTAGAAACCTTAAAGGGCTATATAAATATCATCATATTATTTTATTGAAGGAACAGAGGTTACTGGAGGATGAGAGAAGGTAGGGGAGGAAGTAAGAGGGGTCTGAGGGCTGGGGTCCCAGATGAAGTCAATGACTGCTCAGGCTCTGCCCACTGGGCCTTATAATAGGAGGAGTTGGAGTGTCTTCTCACACATTCTCCATTATCTGGGCCCTGGTCCTCTTTCTGTGCCCTTGGCATCTGGGGCCTGGGATCAGTCTATAATGGAGTAGAAAGGGCTTTGGAGGTTTGACAAACCTGGCTGAAGGCCGCCTACACAATGTTGTTCCCTTAGAGTCGCTCTGATTAGGGAGGTTCAACTGGAATGTTCCTACTCAATTCAGGGCTGCCATTAGGACAGGAGGCATAGGGTTGAATGGAACAGGGATGGGCCCCAGGACAGGAAGTATTTCTCAGATTCATCTAGGCATCCCACCAAGGGTGATGCCTTCTTTGCCACCAAATCACTCCCAAACCTCAGAGCCTACTGACCAGTTGGTATTGGATATGCTTCCCTCAACCAGGTGAAAGTGCCCATGAAATTCAATGGCCGCTCAGGGGTGCAGCTGCGGGCCCCCCGGGACCTGCAGGATCTGGCTGCATACACAGCTCTCAAGTTCTACATTCAGAGCTCAGAGCCACCTCAACAGCCAGGCCAGGATGGCAGCAGCCAATTTGTCCTCTATATGGGCAGTCGTGAGGTAGGTGTTTGGTGGGAGAGGAGGGAGCCAGCCACACATATCAGAGTCTGAGTGTCCACAAGAAGGGACCCTGGGACTTGTGTGCTGGAGCTCATTATCCCCATGTTGACCAAGAGCCGCCATTTCATTTGGCAAGGGGTAGTGGGAGGGTAAAAGGGTGGGGGCCACTGGAAGAGAGAGGAAAGTGGCTCATGCCCCAGGTTGAACAACCTTCCCCGTTCTGACCTCCAGGCCTCTGGGGACTACATGGGGGTGATCCTGCATGAGCACAAGGTGCAGTGGGTTTACCGGCTTGGGGAGGCGGCCCACAGGACCCTGACCATCGATGACGACATCGGGGAGCAGTTTGCTACTGTCAGCATCGACAGGTCTCTATCCCACCCCCACTTTTCTGGACATACCCAGCCCTTTAGGCCTTCAGAGGGGAGGGAAGCAAGGTGGCTGTCATCCTCAGAAGCCCCTTCAGAGGGGAGGCAATGAAATGCAATGAAGAGAGTGCCTGACTAGAAGTCAGGAGACCTAGCCTTTAGCTCTTGCTGCAGCTCAGTCCCCTCCCCTTAGCCTCATTTACCCCAGCTGTGAAATGACAGAATCAATCTTCTATGGGAAAGATAGAAGAATGAAAGGACAGGAAAAAAGGTGGGGAGAGAGGCTAATGGTGGAGGACACCAGGGTCTAAGGTAGGGAAGCACAGACTGATATATCTTCAGGGCTCTCATTTTTCCTTTCTCTATTTTAGGATTCTTCAGTATGGTCACATGTCTGTCACAATGGAGAAGCAGACGGTACATGAGACCAAGGGAGATAGTGTATACCCTGGTGACCAGGGTTTACTCAACCTGAGACCCCAAGACTTTGTCTTTTATGTGGGAGGCTACCCTTCCAACTTTACGGTAAGCCCAGGAAAAGACCTCCTGGGATGAGGAAGAGACATTGATAGGAGGAGGAGGAGGAGGAGGGAGACAAAAATCTCATTCTATGACCAGTGATGTACAAATGAATAAACACTTCTATTAGACTCAAAACAATCAACAAACACAGGTCAATTCAACATGAGGCCCAGGGAATACAGAGCTAAAAACTGATGGCCTGTCCTTAATGAGCCTTTATTCTCCTAGAAGGAATATGACATGTATACAGATAAGGGAGGACGCGATGGTGCCAAGACAGATCGGACAAAATGATGTAGAGAATTTGAGTAGAGGAATAACATTTTTAGCTTGGTTAGAAGGGATGGGGAGGAAATCAGGGAAGGCTTCCAAGAAGGGATAGGATGTTGAGCTGGGCTTTTAAGCTAAAGAATTCTGAGAGGCAGAGAGGAGGAGGGCCACCTCAGCCATCGCACTGTCTCTTGGCAGACACTCCTCAGAGAAGGGAGTTCTGAGGCTTCCTCCATCACCTCTCCTCATAGCAGAAATCCCTCAGTCTTGGCATCTCACCTACACCCACCCTACTGCAGTCTTTTTTCATGTTCTGCCATAGGTTGGGGATGGAGTCCAATTGCCAACCCTTCCAATGTAATCAGGGCACCCAGGTCTTCCACTAATCCTTGGTCTCTAATTCTGCCTTATGTGTCCTCAGCCTCCCAGGCCTCTGCGGTACCCTGGTTACCGGGGCTGCATTGAGATGGACACCCTGAATGAGGAGGTTGTCAGTCTTTATAACTTCCAGAGGACCTTCCATCTAGACACAGCCTTGGACAAACCGTGCGCCAGGTGCGTGCTTTACCCACCCCCCACCTCCATCCCTTACCTCAGATCCCCTTTTTTGATCCCTGGGAGGGTGTAAGAGCTTGGAGGGAGGAGAGAGATCTCAAGTTTGTCTCCTTGACTAGATCTAAGTCCACGGGGGACCCCTGGCTGACAGATGGTTCTTACCTGGATGGCACGGGCTTCGCGCATATCAGCTTTGAGAGTCAGATCAGCAGCACCAAGCGCTTTGAGCAGGAGCTGAGACTGGTCTCCTATACTGGCATCATCTTCTTTCTTCAGTACCAGGTATGGCCCTCATTCTCTCAACCTCTTCCTTGCTTCCAGGCCCACTGACTTTACTGATCATTGATCTAGAGCTGGGAGTCCATCAAGTCCAACATCTTCATTTTACATATGAGGAAACTGAGGCAGAGAGAGGTTAAGTGAGTTGCCCCAAAGTCACACAGATTGCAAGCCTTGAAGGTGGAATTTGAACACAGGTGCTTGACTTCAGAGTCAGCGCATTTTCCACTGTATCTCAGTGCCTCCACCCCAGCTTCCTATCCCCCCTTCCCTTCCCCTCTCTCTCCTAATCTCTAGACTCCATCCTCTCCCAACTCCCCTCTGCAGTCACTCTCCCCAGCTCCCTTCTCACCTTGTCCCTTTCTCTCAGGACCAGTTCATATGTCTGGCTGTCCAGGAAGGCCACCTCATCCTCTACTATGATTTCAGCCATGGGCTACAGATTGCCACCCCCCAACAGGAGCTGACACCCCTTACCTCGTCCAACAAAGCGGTAATTTGGCCCCTTCTCCATCTTCTCACCCTTCCTCATCAACGCAGCCATATGATATCCTGCACTGTCCTAGGAAATGGAGATGAGGACCCAGAAATGGCTCAGGTTCCCCTAAGGTCCCCCAGGTGTTCTCCTCATGGGGAGACAAGGACTTTGGCCCCTGGGCCCGGCCATGCTTCCTGTAAGGCTGTGGGCCATGAGGACTTTAAGATGGAATGGGGCTCCTGAGGGTCTGCTCCTCTGCTTCTCCTTCACCCTAGATCCAGATTTTCATCATGGGTGTGACAGGCCGAAAGCGGGTCCTGGTCCGAGTGGAGCGAGTGTCTGTATTCAGCTTGCAGGAGGAGAATATGCTGGAGAACGCTGACTCCTATTATCTGGGAGGAGTTCCTCCGGACCAGCTTCCTCCAAGGTGAGACACCTACCTCATTCCTCCCCTGACCAAGTCAGCTAGGCCCAGCATGTGAGAAGCAAAGGTTCAGAGCTGTAGGAGTTCAGAGGCGAGACATATATTAGTGGGGCCTAGAGGAGTCCGTTAAGGCTGCCTGCAAAGGAGAGGGACAAGCTGAGCCTGGAAGGATGGGCAGGTTTTTGAAGAGATGGAGGGAAGGGACAACATCTCAAAGGTGAGAAGCCATGGAAGGGAGCAAAAATCTCTGTCAAGTCCCTTGTCTTCTCTTCCCAGCCTAAGATCCTTGTTCCCCACTGGGGGGTCAATCCGAGGCTGTGTGAAGGGCCTGAAAGCCCTTGGCAAATATGTGGACCTGAAGAGACTGAACACAACGGGCATCAGCTCAGGATGTACTTCTGACCTCCTGGTAAGGGATCCACTACAGATCAGCCTTCTGGTCTTCAATGTAGCCCCTTGACAGCTTAGGACTGGGTGTCAGGTGACCTGGGTTTTACTCCTGCCTATTTTCCTTCTGGACCTCAGTTTTCTCATCTGAAAAATAGGGATGATGATTCCTGTCATCCTGTCCTTTCTCATGAGGGAGCGAGAATAGATGGGAAAAGGTGATGCCACGGGAAGGGGCCCTTGCTCCAGACTAAGGGGACCTGTGTTCCAATCTGACTTCCAACACTTGCTAACCTCCCTGGGTCTCAGTTTCCTTCTCTGTAAAATGAAGGGGTTGGATTAGAGGACCTTTGAGATCCCTTCCGTCTCTCAAGCGAGGGTCCCACAAGCTGTTTAGTACAGCACACGTTTCCATTGTCATTGTGATAACTTCTGTACTGTGGGTGGGCATGAAGGTGGGAGGTACGAGGGCCCTGAGAGAGTGGGCCCCGGCACCTTTCTTCTGATGCGCCCCTCTCATTCCAGATTACACGATCCATGACCTTCCATGGGCATGGCTACCTGACCTTGGCCCTCAGAGACGTGCCCCCTATTACTGGAAACTTCTACACAGGTTTTGGCTTCCGTTCCACACAGGACAGCGGTCTCCTCTACTATCATGCCTCACCGGTACATGCCCGTATATCTTGGGAGTCTCTGGCCTAAACCCAGAATCACTTAGGTGCCCCAGGTTCCCATAATACCCTTCCCAACTCTAAGCTGAATCCTTCCAGCTTCATTCTGTCCATTTCTCTGGATGGGCAAGAGCCCCCTTCCATGCGAGCCCCTCTATCCCTATCCTTCAGGAAGCCAAATCTTTAGTTCTTTTGTGGGTGGGGGATGGGCCCGGTGACACAGGAGAGTAATTATTCCTTCCCTTTTCCCTGGGTCTGTCAGCCATAGCCAGATGTCCCAATGTGCTCCTTGCCCTGTTCCTTCCCCCTCATGATGTCTGTACCAAGATCCCTGTGCCTTTTTCCTTTTGCTGACCATATGGTGTTTCCCTCATGGTACCAGGAGGGTATTTTCCAGGTGTCCCTAAGACAGGGTCGCGTGACGCTCAAATTCCTTAGGATGGAGGTCATGACGAGAGGTGCTTATGCTGATGGGGTTTCGCACTATGTTGCAATCTACAGTAATGACACAGGGTGAGCTTTATGAATTACTTGATCCCCACCCCTACCCCCACCCCCTCCCGTGCTTCCTGGCAATTAGAACTCAGCTCTAGTTATCAACATTGAAGGAGAAAGAATGAGGAGTGGTGGAAAGAGCCTAGAACTGGGAGCCAGAGGCCCTAGTGTCCAAATTCCAGCCTGCCACTTGCCGGCTATGTGACAGAGGTCCAGTCACTGCCTCTCTGTGGCCTTCATCTCCTCATCTGTAAAATGGGGATAATAATCCTGCCCCATCTATCTCACAGACTGTGAAAATCACATAAGGAAATGTATGACAGTTCATATGTATGAAAGTGCCTTACAAACTAAAAAGCCTGTGAATTCTACTGTTTTCTTATCATGCTGGGTGGTGCAGTGGATAGTGGTGGGCCTGGAGTCAGGGAGACCTGAGTTCAAATCCAGCCTCAAATGAGATGATATTTGTAAAACACTTAGCACAGTACCTGGCAAATACCAGGTGCTTAATGAATCCTTCCCTTTCCTCTCTGCCCTTTCCTTTCCCTCCCTTTCTGTTCCTTCCCCTCCTTTCCCCTTTTTTCTCCTCTGATACTCTGATGCCTCATCATGGTGCAGAGGTAAAGGTTGATGCTCGAAGGCTTTGCCAGGAGGGCCCAAACACTAGCTCCTCCTACCAAGTTAGGAAGGGCTTCAAGGATGGTCCTGGTGATGGTTTCAGTCTTGTCTAAGAGTCCATCCAGCCAGCCAGAGAGCAGCTCATCCCTCAACAGGGGGTGGGCCACCATGTGACGAATGTGGGGACCCACTGCTTCACACATAGAGAGGGCTGCGGACTGAAGACAGCACCTGTGCTAATGAGGACATAGAGCCTTACAGTATTTTGTATTTATTATTATTATAAATAACTAACATTTATATGTTATATATTATATATATTAAGGTTTGCAAAGCCCTTTACACAGATTATCTCATTTGATGCTCAAACCCTGTGAGGTTTGAGCTATTATTACCCCCACTTGACAAAATGAGGAAATTGATATTGAGAGAGACTAATTGCTTAACAGTCACACAGCTAATAAGAGGGTGAGGTGAGAGTTGAGCTTAGGTCCTCCTGATTCAGAGGCACCATATTGCCTCCTGTTGTTAAGAGGTACAGTGGTATATCTGAGCTATCAAATACCTCTCTTTGAACTTAGTATATATTGTGTATATTATGTTGCAGCATATTTGCCTCTTTACTTTTGTTCTGTTAATTGCTAATTCATTCAACACACATTTCTTGAGTGCCCGCTGTATGTGGGGCCTTGTGCTCTGCTACATTCTGGGTGAAACATTTAAATAAGAGTGTCTCCATGTGTAGGAAAATTTACTAGTCTATTGGAATCGTTCACTAAATATTAACTAGACATACATTTTTTGTGTCAGGTTTGGGGAGGCACCCATCCTCCTTGGACAAGTCCTTGTGGATGGAAATTGGGGGTGTTGTTGAAATGGTATCATGGAGGAAGGACCCTGATGGCTGTGAGAAATCCCCTCCTCACAAGGGCTTTTCTCCTCCCAGGGTCTGGCTTTATGTGGATGACCAACTTCAAGGTGCAGAGCACCAGGGGGGCCGGTCTCGTCGTCAGGCTCCAGCCGAGGGTACCCCTCGCTTCCTCCTTGGGGGGCTGCCTGAGTCTGGTGCCTTCCAAAACCTGACTGGCTGTATCAGCAATGTCTTTGTCCGGCGGTGAGTCGTAAAGAGAACGGGGCAAGGCCAGGGACCCCCACACCTTGAGCCCAGGAGATTGCTGACCTAATTACAGGCCTGGCTGGAGGCTAACCCACTGGGGGAGCAGGGAGGCTGAATGCCAAGATCCCCAGAGCGTTCTGTGATGCAGCTGCTCTTGGTCCCCAGGGTATCAGAGGCCCAGCGTGTGGTCGACCTGCAGCAGAATATCCAGAATGTCAACGTGACCACCGGCTGCACTCCCCCAGATGAACCACTCCAGCTCAGGGCATCACCAAGGAAGTTCCGAAGGAAACCCAAGGTTGGTGCTGCTTGCTGATGGGTAGCTGAGAGTAGGGAGGAAGATCTGGGAGCGACAGAACAGCTGGGTGGAACAGAAGGCACCTGTCTTCTGCTCTCACCTGCCTCATCGCCTCCAATCCTCTGTCCCCCAGTCTGCTCTCCATGACCAAGGGATGCCCCTAGACTCCACTTGCCAGTTTCCCACCCATCCCAAAACCATCAGCAATGCCTACCAATTTGGGGCTTCTCCTGCCAGCCGTCTGGAGTTTGCTCACATCCCATTCTCTTTCCAGGATCGGTAAGCATCATCTCACTCATGAAGTTCCAGGGTGGGAGGCTGGGTGTATCAGGAGAAGCAAGCATTCCTCAATCTGACACCATGTTTTCTGGGCCATATCTCACCCAGGACTCACTTCTCTGTGGATATCCAACTTCGCTCCCCACGTGGGCTGCTTCTGGCTGTGCCTACTGTAAAGTCAGCAAGCCCCTTCCTGGTCCTCTACCTCAGTCAGGGCCGCTTTGTCCTCCAGGCTGGAGGCCAGGGAAAACCTTTTCGAGTCCGGAGCCATGAGCGATACAAGCCAGGAGGCTGGCATACAGTAAGATGCACAGGAGTGCGAGTGTTCCCAGACACCATTCTCCTCCTACCCACTAGAGGAAAACTGAATCAAGTTGGATTGGAATCAGAGTAGCTGAAACAAACATGAGAATTGGGAAAAATGGAAATTCCTTCTAGGAGCCTGGAATGATGATTTTTTTTTTCCCCTCCTTTCTTTCTTGGCTAAACTTGAGAAATCTGTCTACATTGGATGCCTCCACTTCCTGTCCTCTCTTTGTCTCCTGAATCATCTGCAGTCTGGCATCCAATGTCATGAGATTCTCAGATGTAATGTCAGCTCAAGTGACCAGTCTTAGAATTGGGATGAGGATGCATAAGGCTAAAACCCATATGGCTGTAATATGTCTAGATCTGGTCCTCTCCTTGGTTTCCCCTGGGATATGAAGAAAGATTTGAGGATAGTTATCTCATACCCTCCTTCTCAGGTCTTTTTCAGCCGAGAGCAGAATCGAATTCAGCTGGTGATCGATGGGCTTAGGGCTCAGAGCAGTGAGGGGCCTCGTGGCCGCCGGAGGGCATTGCTGGGCCGTGGACCAATCTATGTGGGTGGCATCCCCTCTGGCCACAGCTGGACTCATCTCCCAGTAAGACAAGGGTCCCATCACCATCTCAGTTTAACCCTTTTCCTCATGAACACCCCATCTTCCTTCTTCCTCTACTGCCCATTCATCCCCCTTTGTGACCCAGCCCAGCCCCTCAAGCTCTTATAAGTCACACAAAACCTTCCCTCCAGGAAGCAGCTGGCACTGGCTTTAAAGGGTGCATGAGGAACCTGAAGCTGAATGGACAGCCTCTGGAGACCCCAACACAGCTCCATGGAGTGATACCATGTTACACTGGGACCCTGGAGAAGGGACTATTCTTTGCTGTGGAAGGGGGAGCTGTAACGTTGGGTCTGTGAACTTTCCTCCTTCTTTTGGCTTTATTTGGGCCCTGGATAAGGTTGGGTGAGATAAGGTTGGGATTGGAAGCATCAATAAAGCTTCCCGACCAACCCCATTCCACATCCCACAGATCCACCCGAGGTGTGGGGGCCAGACCTGGAGCTTGTGCTGGAGGTGCGTCCCTGGGCAGCACTTGGACTCATCTTTCACCTAGGGTCAAGGCAGGGACCACCCTATATCAGACTTGAAGCAGATGGGGACAAGGTGAGTGGGGCCAGGAGAACTGGGGCAGCCCTGGCCTAGGAGGATGTCTCCCCTTAGGAGGCTGTCTTTACCCTATACTACAAAAATCTCTGCCCTGAATGAGGGACGAGGTCTGACAACCCAGTCACATATTCTGATGCCCCATCATGGCACGGAGATGACCCTCTGTCTCTACCCTGCGACATACATGAGGGCTATGCCAGCAGCCTACTGACCTGGAAAGTCTTTTTGTTGGCCATCAGTGAGGATCAGCCTAGCTCAGCCTGGAGAGGTTATCACTGGATGCTGAACCACAAGGCAGGAAGTGTTTTTGGACACAGCAAATTCATGAAACCATCTAAATAAGGCAGGGAGAGGTTGTGTTCCACACTGGTAGAAGGCACCCAGAGTGAGGCAATCACAGGCTCCGGCACATAGTAAGCCTTAATAAATACATGTTGACTGACTTGAAGCATCAAAGGTACCTGGTCCATTGGTAGAGATTGAAACCTTCTCCATGCCTCAATAAATGTCTTAGTGCAGGGGTGGGGATCCTGTGGCTGAGACCACATGTGGCCTTCTAGGTCCTTGGGTACAGCCTTTTGACTGAGTCCAAGTTTTACAGAAAAAAAATCCATTTATTAAGGGGATTTATTCTGTGAAGTTTGGACTCAGTCAAAGGGCCGGACTTGAGGACCTAGAGGTCCACATGTGGCCTCAAGGCTGCAGGTTTCTCACCCCTGTGACTTAGTACATTGTCATAGCCAAACATAATCATTACCAGGTAACCCCCACCTTCTTGGTAATGAGGTTCTGATTTTTCCTAAGCTGGACAGAAAAAAGTCTCTCTCTCCTGGAAACTGACTGAAACACTTCCATTTTGGTAGAACCTACTAGAGGAGCTTCGTAAGCATGGCCTTCTTAAAAGCCTGGGTCATCACCACCATGCCATAGTCAGGCATGAAAGGGATTTAGTGCAGGATCAGTGATTTGTCAATCCAAGTGATTGGGTGAGCACTTGGTGCTCTGAAGAGTGGGTTCTGTAGTAATAAACATATAAAATAGTAAATTATAATCCACCTTTCATTTGGTCATTTTTCCCCATAGATAATATTCTCTCTCTCTCTCTCCCTCTCTCTCTCTCTCTCACACACACACACACACACACACACACACACTCAGATTCTCTCACACTTTATACATTGCCTCATTTTGTCCTCCCAATATCCCTGTGACACAGGTAGGTTTTAAATCTTGGCAACAATATCTTCCCTTCACAGCTTTCAGTGAATTGTCTCACCTGTTGTCTCAGGTACTTGTCAGAGCCAACAATGGGGCAGGGGAGTTCTCCACATCAGTGACTCGGCCTCCTCTCTGTGATGGACAGTGGCACCGGATTGCAGGTGAGGTGATGATCTCTCTCCACCACCCCCAACTCTGGCCATAGCTTCCTGGTCCAGGGAATCCCTACGCTGTCTGCATGGAGTGACAAGTAAACCACGATGGCAGATAATCCAAACTTGTTCTTGTTCAGATCTCAGGTATGCAGTGTGATTGGGAGAAAAGTAGACTCAGCTCACACTCCTCATTACATTGTCTGAAACTGGGGGGAGGCTTGTCGAGAATCCATATAGGGAGAATGTCCCGGGAAATGATTCAAACACAGCTATAAGCCTGGCATGCTTCGGGAAGGGCTCTGGGAGACATCGAAGTGACTGGCCTAGACAAACCCATGTTTGCGGTAGGGTAGAGACAGATCATGGCAGACCTTGAAATATTAGGATGGAGAACTGGGATCTTTCTTTTGGGAAGCTATGGAAGGTCTTTGACCACAGGAGAGTCCTGATGACAGGTCTGAGGAGGGAGTTGAACCAAAAAAAGACTGCTAGATTGGGGGGAGGGAAGATGGAGATGGTTAGAATAGAGAAGAAGGAACAAATTCAGATGGCCAATTACCTCCCCCCCCCCCAAGAAAAAGTACAAATTTACAAATAAATGAGTTGCTTTGTGGATGGGAAAAGTTAAACCATTTTCACTTGGGTGGTATTCCCAGGAAACCCAAGGTCCTTCCAAGTACAAGGTTGTCTCCCCCCTCAGGCCAGACTAGAAATACCATCTTCTTTCTCTCTATCCCTTTCAATGTCCATGGCTCTGCTCAGGGGAATTCTAAGGCAAGTTGAAAGGACAGCCCTCTGGGCAAGCTCTGGGAAAGAGCTAAGCCAGAGGCCTCTCTCCCTCTCAGTGATTAAAAGAAGAAAAGTACTCCAGCTGGAGGTGGATGCAGAAGGCAATTACACAGTGGGTCCTGCCTTAGTTCCTTCCATTATCACCAAAGAACCTCTTTACCTGGGAGGTCTACCAGGTAAGTCCCACCTGTAGCTATTTGGGCAACCACCTTCCAGAAGGGGGTTAGGGAAGACTGACAATCTCTTTTGTTTTCGTCTGTTTAAAGAACATCTTAGTCTAGCGTTCCTTCCATCATGCAGTGCAAAGAGCACTATTCTAGGAGGCAGAAGACCAGGGTTCTAGTCCTAGCTCTACCACTGACTTGCCCTGTGCCCATAGATGGGTTGAGTCACATTCTAAGCCTGTTTCCTCTTAAAGTAAAACAAAGACTAAGATCATCTACCCCGTCTAATGAGCTTAAGAATAGCCAGCATTTCTATATTGCTTTATGGTTTGGAAAGCACTTTATATACATTATCTCATTTGGTCCTTGTAACACTCTAGTGAGGTAGATGCTGTTAATATTCCTGTTTTACGGATGAGGAAAATGAGGCTGAAAGATTAAGTGCCTTGCCCAAATTACAGCCTGGTTTTGTCCCAGATCACAGAATGAGGTGATAAAACCCTCCTCTAGCCCACTACTCACCCAGCGCCCAGTGGAGGCTCTAGGACTGTAGTCTCCTAGGGGCCCCCAGTGCAATGAAAATCTGTGATTTATGGTGTAAGTACTCCCTCCACCTAGGTAGATTGCAACCCTTCCATGAATTAGTACAGTATCAGGAGTTGATGTGATCCGCAAAAGCTCACATAGTAACAAAGCCTCTCCCAACCTAGCTAGCCTGTTCTTTGGGTACCAGATGCACAGCCAGTCTCCGGGCCTATACTCAAACCTTTCCAGCTTGGAAGCCCTAGCAGCGGTGGCGCTCTGGATCCTCTAGGACTGAAAACGTGAACACAGTCTATAGGATACTTTCCTCCTAACAACTCTGAGTTAGGTAGCACAAAATTATCCCCATTTTGCAGATGAGAGAAAAGAGATTTTAGAGAGAGCAGGACTTGTTCAAATTCACCCAGCTAGTGTTCGAGCCAAGAATCGATGCCAGGCCTTCTGAGTCCAAGTCCAGCACTCACCTCTCCAGGGATAGGTAAGGAGCACAGTACTAGACGTAGCAGCCGTTATTTCTGTAGACCATTTTTAAAAGGTACACACATCTATCCATTCTCTCACTTGAGTCTCAGTAGTCTTTGAAGTCTAAAAATGCAATAAATATGTATTAAGTACCCACCATGTGCAGAGCCTAGAAAGAGGCGCCAGGGGAGATACGAGGACAGACAAGACAGCCCTTGTCGTCAGAGAGCTTAGTATCTAATAGGAGAACAAGATCACTGTTGATAGACTAAGTATTATATAGCAGAGAGACCCCCTGAACTTAGAAATCAGGAAGACTAGAATTTGAATCCATCTGTGTCACCCTGGGCAAGTCACTGAATCTCTCAGCCTCAGTTTCCACATCTGTAAAATAGGAATATTAACAGTGCCTACCCACAGGAATGTTGCAGGAATGAGATAATGTATATAAAGTGCTTTCCAAACCCTAAAGCAATATAGAAATGCTGGCTATTCTTATGCTCGTTAGACAGGGGGAGATGATCTTAGTCTCTGTTTTACATTAAGAGGAAACTGAGGCTTAGAATGATGACTCAACCCATTCATGGGCACTAGGCGAGTCAGCAGTAGAGCACAGCCAAGCCTAGAATCCTGATCCTCTGCCCCTTAGGATGGTGCTCTTTGCACTGCACGATGGACAGGGGACACTAGAGCGAAAATGGGAAGACTCCATTTTGAGCACAACCTCTGACGCTAGTTGTGCAGCCCTGGGCAGGTCATGTGGCCTTGCTGAGCTCCAGAATGTAAAATGGGGCTATCAGTACTTGTATTAAGGGGTATTGTGGACTGTTTTGTAAAACTTAAATCACTAGGGGCAGCTAAGTGGTACAGTGGATAGAGCACCAGCCCTGGAGTCAAGAGGACCTGAGTTCAAATACGACCTCAGACACTTACCAGCTGTGTGACCCTGGGCAAGTCACTTAACCCCAACTGCTTTTAAAAAAAAAAAAAACAAAAAACTGAAAGCACTCTATAAATGTCAGCTGTTAAAATACAACAATCCTGCTGTCCCTGTATGGATGTCATCAATGCTTCCATACCTTTCTTCAGATTCTTCTCGCAGTGCTGAGTTTGGCACAGTGAGATGTTTGGAGTATCAGCTTAGCAAGTGGAATAAAACAGACAAGAGAGGGCTGCCTATGTTCCCTATGATTTTTTATAGTATAGCAAAGTCCCTCTTAACCTTTCTTCTCCATATCCAAAAATCAAATGTTCTCCTAGTAAAAATACCTCTTCTATCACTTCCAGTACTCTCACCTAAGGACCAACAGCTGACAGCCTCTTAGTGTTAGGGACACACTGGCAGTCTGGTGAAGCACATGGATCCCTTCTCAGAATGTTTTTAAATGCATAAAATACATAGGATTACAAAGGAGACCAATTATATTGAAATAGTTACCTAAAATATCACACACAGACGCATATGCCCTAAACCCAGGATAAGAACCCTTGCTTTAATGGAACATGGGTTGGGTGAAATTGGGAGTAAGGGTAGGGAGTATAGATAGGGCTGCTTAATTTACTTCCAGGCTTAACTGTTGTTTTCTGTTGACTTCTTGTCACCCCCTCCCCTGCCTTCCCCTCCTCCATCCCACAGAGACTTCAAAGACCATGGTTCCACCGTCATCCCTACCTGGTTACTACGGCTGTATAAGGAATCTTGTGGCAAACCGTCGCCCTATCAACCTGACACGCACTGGCATTATCGAAGGGTCAGTGGGTGCAAGTGGCTGCCCAGTCATGTAAATAAATGGCCCAGACACATAGCAGATTAAAGCTGCCCTGCTGCATAGAGCCCCTCTGGCCCCTCTCTCTGGTTAGTAAGTATTGGCAGACTCTGGACTCCATCATCTTTTCAGTATTTTTCACCCCATGAGGAAATTTGGATAACTGACTTAAGCATTAGACACTTTACAACTCATTATGTGTAAGCAAGTAAATTCAACATATCTTCTATAAATGAAGAACCAAAAGTGGGGCTACACATTTCTGGGCCTGAGATGGTGCTAAGAAAAAGTGGTACTCCAGTCATGCTGCTGGTTTGCCCACCATTCACAGAATCTCAAAGCTGGAAGGGACCTCCAGAGGGAATCCAGTCCACCCCACACCAAAGCAGAAATTCCCTCTCTCCCCCTGCAACATCCCTGAGACCATCCATCCAGCTTCTGCTTAAAGATTCTAGGGATGGAGAACTCACTACCTCTCGTTCCGTTTTTGAATAGCTCTACTCCTTAGGAAGATTTTTTTCTTACATTAAGCCTAAATCTCCCTCCCTGCAACTGTTAGCCACTGACTCTAGTTCTGCTCCCTTGGGCCAAATAAAAAAAATCTAATCTCCCACATGACAGCCCTTCAAATACTTGAAGATAGTGATCATGTCCCTGCATCACTGAGTCTTCTCCAGGTTAAACATCTCTCATTCCCTTAACTGATCCCCATAAAGTGCTTTGAGTCCATATATTTATTCCCATTCTATGCTTCCAACCCTCTTCCTTCCTTTCAGGGTCACATTCACTGATTCTTGTGATTGTAGTACAGATCCAATGACAAAATGCTTCTTCTGTCCACCTAGCTCATTTTGTGCACTTACACATTTACATATGTTTTTTTAATATACATATGCATATATATATATTTGTGTGTATATATCTAGATGTACGGGGGATGAAATCTTATGTCTGGAAATGATTTATAAATTATGTTTTTTATATGATTGGGTAAATATTATAAAATGGGTTAATCTTTTATTATCTTTCAACGAATTTCATTATGACCTTTTTCACCCTTTTTCAATGTAGAATGAAAGCTTTGTAAATCACTGGTACATACTTTTGAAAGCAAAAATAATAATAAATAAAAAAGCTTACTTTGAATACTGATTAGTGAAATGAAATGGAAAAAATCCTGTCCACTTGGTCAGAGAGGGCTTGATGGCAGCATCAGCCCTGATACTAAGCTAGGGGCTTTGTCCAAGCAACCAGTCTCTGGCTTAATTTCACCACACACACACCTTGGGCTATTTTTAATTTATAAGTCTGCTCCTTGTTTTGGAGATTCTGAAAAATCTCTTTAAACAACCAAGCTGTCAGTCTCTAGATGCATCTGAAGCACCCAGGATAACTTTTTTTTTTTTAATCAGTACATTTAGGGAGATTTGCTTCAAATCAAAGTGATGGAGCCACATCTGGAAAAACAGTTTATTTGCTCTGGAAAGCTGACCCACTTGCAGCTTTCATGTGGTATATGTAATTTACCAGATGTCACCCAGGGAAAACTTGTCAAGCAAGGTTCCAGCCCTGCCTGCAGACACTAACAGGATGTCCATGACCAACATTCTGGCACTCAGCTCCAGCTCTCCATGAGCTCACAAAGTATTTCCTCACAGACAATTTGTATCTGAAGACCAGGCAAAGGGCATTTGGTAATCACTCCTTCTATTTCTGGCACACACAAAAACTAGAGTTGGCAGATAAAAGAAAAGTCCTTTATTTTGTAGGCTGAATGTAGGCATGAGTGTATGCAATAAACTAGTGACACTACTGCAGTCACTTAATTACTAAGAATTTCCAATATCTTAAAAGACAGCAAATAATTTAATCTAAACTCATATCTTCCTCTTCGTCTTTCTTGTCCTTTGCATCTCCTTCCTTTTGGTCTGACTTGGCATTGTTCTGCATGGCTTTGGCAAATGCTTCGACATCTAAAATATCATTAAAAAGATATTATCATCAGTCTTGCCCCCTAGGAACACTTTAATAATCAGCCAAGTTGCTATGACAAAAGGGAATTAAAATGAAAAGTGCAGATTTTTTAAAAAATCTGCAAACCTAGCAAGACTACAACAATTTTTCTTTAAAACCCACACAAATTAGGCTGAAGAAAGATTACAATTTGCTCCATTAAGCAAATCAAACTTTGTCAGATGTGCCAAAATGAAGTGTTCTCTGAACATTCTTACCCAGGAGAAATGTTTCTAAACAAATCATTACATAATTTAGGCTGTAAAAAAAAAATTTTAACTGTTACATAAGAATTCTTAAAATCTTGAACAAATATTTCATTGAAGGGAAGCAAAAAAGGTACTTACCACCCTTATTTGCCGCATCTACAGCTTCAGTTGGTAAACCAAACTGACTCATAAGTGGGCCAAGCTGTCCTGAGGCTAAGGCAGCACTGAACATACTTAATGCCTGTAAATGAAGAGCATTCATGAAAAATGACTAAAACTTTCTGGTTTTTTCTACTATTAAACTCCAATTTTTTCCTGGGCATATACCTAAGCCCAGCTCTCCAAGGAAATTAATCAAATATCTCCTATGTACAAGATACTGAAACTGCACCAGCTAGCACCAAGCTCTGTCTGACAGTGGAGGGAGCCACTGTTTCTGAACACTTATGTAATGTAACCTAGGAGACAAGAGAGAATGCCTAAAGACCCACAGGAGGGAGGCCTAAGCTAGTGAATCACATGTGACAAAATCTCCAAATGGGTACAGCACATCATAAAATTTCTTTCGACTCAAAAGAGAAAGAAGAGGGAGAGGAAAGGGAGTTCCACCATCGTATGGGACGATGGCTAGGAAATGTGACATAAATTTTAAGCTTAGCTAGCTGGCAAACAGAAGTAGAAGTTGATGACCATATTCCTACCTGCTGAAACTGAGGAGAGGTCAGTGTGTTCTGAATCTCTTCTGCAGTCTGTGGAAGAGATTCTCCAGAGGGAAGATAAGGCAGCAACCGCTCTTGGACTTCAGCATTGGCCAGAATAGGAGCCATAATCTCTGGAGTTAGTACACTGGCCAAGTCAACTAGGATATAACAACAAAACTATAAGTTCTTTGGCATTTACTATTTGCTGCTTACTGGGGAATGGAGTGTCAGATTTCAAGACTACAAGCAGCCAAATCACCCAGTGAAGCTTCCTGAGAGAAGAGAGATCTCTTCATTGGCTCCTGCTTCTTGCCAACGGTTCCATTCTGCTTGGCAGAAAAGTCTCAAGCTCAGCATTTATTGGCAACATTAGCCTTTTCCAGGGTGATATGCAAACCAACAGTGCCATAGAGAACACTTTCACTAAGGGCATGCCTTCCCAATCCCCTTGAAAGAGAACAGGGAAGTAGCAGGCACCTTTACCCCAACAGCTTTCAGTCAACGAAAAAACGTTTACCTTGCTGTCCGCCTCCTGCCCCAGATGGCACATTCATAGTAGCTAAAATGTTCTGAAGGTCACTCAGTTGAATGGGCTGGGTTGGGCTTGTTGCTGTGCTGGTTCCATTACCTGAACTCGGTGCAGGGCTTGGACTAGTTGCAGAGGCAATTGCTTGAGCACTGGGTGCTGGTGTAGCACGAGCGGAAGAAGAGGTGGAAGATGGGGTTACAGAAGCTGACTGGCTCCGGGAGCTGAAAGCAGAAATAGCATCATTAATAAGTAATATGCTGATTTCTTGCTTTAAAGCAGAACTGAGGAGTAATGGGAAAAAGTAATCTCATTTTAAGTACATCAAGGGAGATCCTATGTACTAAAGTACCCGTGAAACCTTCTGCAGTGCAAACATTCACTCCCTGATCTATGTTTTAAGGCTAGACTTCCAAGTGCCTGTGGCACTGCACACCTGGGGTAATTTTCTAAAGTCTGAGTGCACAAGATACAGAACCAAAAAACAAAGACTGCCGGCAAAGCCTCACCTCGATGAAGAGCTGCTTGTTGGAGGCCCTCCACTCCCAAGTAAGCTAGCCAGACCAGGACCTGTCAGTGCACCAAGCCCACCTACAGTGAGGAAACAAGTGTTAGTTCAAAAATGGCAGGTGCAGCTTCTCCCTTAACATTGGCATTCAATGACAATTTCTGTCAGGACTGATTTGGGGGAAAATCTACACATGGTAACTGCAGATTTGTGATCAAGAGCAAGATGTGTGATATCCCAGGCTTCTCAACGGAAGAAAAGTGAAATACCTCTGGTTTATACAATATCCTGTCCTGAGCTACTGTCATTTGACAGAATTTTCCCAACATGAATAGTAGAAAAGGGACAGTGCTATCCAAAATAGGCCACGATTCTCAGTGGAAATTAGCCTCACATCATCTCTCAATCTTGTTTTCTTATGAGAAATCTGAAGAGCAACTGTACTTTATGCAATTTATTCAAATGGTAGACTTGAGAGTCAGTCAAAAGACTCAAGTTCTAAATCCTAGCTCTCTCACTTACCTGTGTAACCTGTGTGACCTTGGACAAGTCACTTCCTCTCTTTGGGCCTCGGTTTCCTCATCTGTTAAATGAAAGGGTTAGACTAGATGACATTTAAGGCCCCTTCCAATTCTTAATCTATGAGTCTATGAATTCCATTAAATCTGATTAAGGATAAAATCAGAGTGAACTATGGAATATTTTTAAAGACATAAAGGGACTTTGGGTACACACAAAGAAAGTGAAACTAAGTCAGAGCAGTGTTCCCAGTTGAGGTCTCAAGGTGGTTGCCTCTAATGAAAAGATAAAAATCAATTATCATTGCAAATTGCATACATGTATACATGTGCATGGGGTCGAGGGCTTCCTGCTATTTTAAAAGTGTAAATAAAACTGAAACCAAAGTTTGAAATGTTGTGATGTTGGACAAAAAAGCCAAACTTGATAGAAAAAGGGCTTTTAGGATGAAGACCTCCATCTGGCTAGGCAGACTCAGATTTGCTTCTCATCAAATAGAAGTGGTTCCCCACTTGTGGCCACTAGAAAGCTCAAGTAAGTGAGTTTCTATATATTCTATATATTCTACATAGCAAGCAGGTAGCTTGCAGTATATGAGGGAAAATATATTCTAACCCTCAAATCATTCAACATTTTACACCTAACAGGAACTCAGATAATCTAGTCCAACCCTTTCTTTTCATAAATGAGGAAAACAGGCCCAGTGACATGAAGGGGCTTGCCTAAGATCACATAAATGTGAAGTGGGAAATCTAGGATCCAAATCTAGGTTTTCTGAATTCAGATTCAGTAGTCTTAACTACACCATACCGACAACAACAGCAACAGCAAAATGAGTATATGGTCTATACACATTTCAGAAACAATTAAGACTGAAGGCTTAACTGAAATGAAGAAGCACCTCCCTTCAGATCAGGAATCTGAAATCTTACCAAGTCCTCCCAAGCCAGTTGGTCCAATAAGTTGCATGAGCTGGTTATGACTCATATTACCCAGAAGGCTCTGCAAACCACCTTCACCTGAAAAACAAAAACACTTTAGACACACCACACCAAACCAAACTCAAAGACCAATTTTGATTAAGAACTTTTTAGTACACAATCTTTAAGTCCTACACAAACAAAGTTTGAGAAATAACTATACCACACCACCTTCTCACTAACAGATTTCTATCAACAGCAAAATAAGTATGTGGTTTATAAATATTTAACATTTCCCAGTAAAAAGCAAATTGCTCAAGAACAATTATAACTGACAGCTTAACTAAAGTGAAGAACCTTAAGTTACTATCTTTGAAATCCTACTACAATAAGTCCCCAGAGATGTCCAGACTTATTTTGAATTCATCTAATGTGACTTGACATTAGCAGTTCACTGGCTAAAACTTTAAAATCCTATTAAACAGAGACATTACCTATGATAGTTTTTGTAAGCAGGATGTAAACACTATATTGAAAAGGGAGATCATAAATCTATCCAGACTCTCAGTACTAGTAGTGCCATCAAAAAGTTGATAAATAACTGACATTTATGCGAGCTTTGCAGAGCACTTTAACTGTACCTACATTTTTCCATTTGATGTTCATAACAAACCAGTGAGGAAACTAAGGATGAAAGATGTTAAGTGACT